AGAGACTTCTCAAATATCTGAAAGTCAGCAATAATTCTAATACATAAGATACCTTTCCTCATTCTGAAATCACTAATGCCCTATCAAAACAAACAACAAATTCAGCATTTAGCAGCTTTGTTTATGTAATACCTCATACATGTGAGATGGTTTTCCAATAGTGGAACTAGGAAAATACTGTTAACACAAAGACTTTCAGATTCTCAGGGATGCCAATCATCTCCAATGTGTGGAGGTGATGGACATCATCACCTCTTGTGGATCAGCATCCAAAACATTCTCATAAGCTTTAGTACAGTTTTGGTTTCCACATTAAAACACCAAATCCACAGTTTATATTAAAAAAAAAATGAACCATTTAAAATAATTCTTTAACATATGGCAACTACTTACGTGGAAATTTTCTCTTATTGCTTTCAAAAAGCTGCAGCAAGAGCAGTAGCTAAGAACTGAGCAGTACAGTAATACATTTGGTGGTAGATTACAGCATTTACTAAGTTTCAAAAGGTAAGCCAGATAATGTGCAGTTTCTTATGAGCCCACAGCTGCTGGAGAAAGTTGCACCCACCAGTAGCTAGAAAATAGAACAGATGAGTTATTGAACACTGTGAATTTTATTTATTGTAGGAATAATTCCGTAATGAAAACACACTCAGCCAAAAAAAACCTGTCATTTTAATGTCACTCATTTGAATAGCACCATCTCATTCTAGCCCTTGCAAGATGTATTCAGATATGAGTTGGATGTCATCCTTCTTGCTATTAAAATGCACCATGGGCCAAGTTTTGCACTCCTCTTCAGCTTGCCCCCTTTGCATGAGTTGTACACAAAAAAAGAAGCCATACTAAACAAAGCAGGATCTGCTGAAAGTTTCCTGCTCTGCCAAGCTGGTTATTTGGAGAGACAACACAAGAGATTTACACAAAAGCAGATGCAAGGACATTTGTAATTAGGATCTGTTGAGCAGATATAGATGCATATTTCCATAGCACACTACCCTTACAAGGTCTGACTCCAGTGAGTAAGGAAGTCTTATTCACCGTCAAAGAAAAGATACAGAAGGAATTTATGAGGAAAAAAATTTAACTACAGCCTCTAGGTATGATTTATCATTTGTTGCTATGGACTGTTTTCCTATTCATCAGGTTATTTTAATAAAGAGAAAAATAGAGGACACTGAATAAGGGACCACAAAGAAAACCTGAGCAGGACTGTAAACAGCTGAGGGAAAGTGGGGGGCATGGAAAGGGGTGAGGTCTTTGTTAGGTTGGGTTTTTTGGGGGGGGGGTTGTTTGTTTTGAGACCATCACTGGACTGTTGTGCAATGTGAAAGCTGTCCCTCGTTGAGCCCTAATTTCTGGTCCCGTGAGTTGCTGTTTCTGTACTATGATCTGGCCTCAACACTAAGCTGCCAGGTAATACAGGTGAATGTGTTTGCAACTATTATGTCCTTCAGAGGCCAGATTTTAAAAGAAAGCAGCAATCCTGTTTCCAGTCCTTCAAAGAAAACTGGTTGGTGTAAGAACAGATCTCCAGGATCTTTCCTTATGAAAATTTGGGCTGGTTTTTGTACTCCTTCCAGGCATCTAACTTTCCAAGCTCTGCATAAAGAACCTAAGTACAGACTGCTGGATCTGTATTTCAAAAAGTGTCTAAAAGAAGTAGTTCAGTGCTGGCAAACTATCACATCAAGCATAACTCAGAGAACAGAGATCCAGAAAGGAATGCAGTGATTAATGGTGCATTCTAGTTCCACTTGGTCTAAAGGGCACTTTACACTACCCAGAGTCGCCTCCTGAACAAGTGATGCTGTTTTGTAATCCCAAATTTACGCAAAATCAGAAACTAAGCATCAAGCCTGCAAATCTGAAGGCAGAGCTGTGGGTTTCTGCTCCTATGTATAATATTTCCCTGTTTTTTTTTTTTTCTTTCTATGCTTATAACTTGAAAAATGAAGCAGGGTTTCAACACCCAAAGGCCTGAGCTGCTCCATCACCTTGATGGAAGTTTATAGTGAGGGTTTTACTTTATGAAGAGACACACACAGAAAGGCAGAGCTGCATGAGTGCTTCTCAAACTGGCCTCCAAATTCATATTAAGCAGTGTTTATAAAGCAATGAAATAAGAGAGCTGACAGCAGGCAAGGGTCATCGGGAAATTCTAAGACTGGTCCATTGAGCTACACACCTTGGGGAACACAGTTGTGTATGAAAGGAAGCAGTTAAGTTGCCTGATGCATTCTTTTTTTACCATTCAGGGTAGAAATAGTGGGTAAAAAGTCCCTCAGTGTCAGTTATTAAGAATAACAATTGTCTTAGTTATACTGCAGAAAGCTAATATAAATTTTGTACCCATTAACACAGCTGAAGTTTTGGGGAAGAAGATTACCCAAATTTCATATTTTACCAAGAATAACTTTATAGAATATATTAACTTTGTGAATGTTGAATATATTTACATGCAGAAATACACAGAACTAACATCAAGACAAATTTCTTCCACTTCTTAATATACAGTTAACAGAAGTTTAACAACTAAACCCAATTGTTTCGTACAAAAGTAAGCAGGGAAAACTATACTGCAGTTGGAAATGTGGGGTCAGAGGATCATTCACAACTGATTACATTGTGTTTGGAGGTGGGTATTAGAGATTTACAAAAGGAGCAATTACTTGTTCAATGATTTTGCTTCATGCATTTAAGAAACACCCTGGATTATTCTCAGGCATTTTTATGGAGACAGTGCTAAAACTCTGGAGTTTACTTTCTTGATACAGAAATTTTGATGAAGAAATTGTTATATAAGGCACTGCTCAGCCCAATGCTTCTTGTCATTCTTCCCATGTCTGTATTTGAGACAGTTGGGAGTGTTGGAGAAATCAGACTTGGCACTACCAGTCTGATTTCTCAAAAATCACGACTCAAATACCCCATATGAGACTTGTTTTGTTTAATACCTGCGTGGGGGAATCCCCTCCACACACAGAACACACAAACCCAGCAATCAGATCAGGCAGTATCACAGTAGCTGCCAAATATGACAATGAGCAAGCTTAATGCAGCCTCCACAAATTTTGCTCCTTTTCTTAAAAGCTTTTATTTCCTCTACCCTCTTTTGTTTTTAAATGAACCTTAATTTTAGTATAAATTGTAATTACCAACAGCAAGGATAATTGCAATTATCAACTCATTTCTGTGCCAGGTTTTGACAGTTAATACAAGGATAAAAGACAGGAAGGGAACAAGGCATGAAGAGAACCTAATTTTTCTTGAAAAGCCAAACAGCCCCCAAAGTTTAAGACTTCCTTTGGAATCAAAGCCCAGATTTTGTCTTCATATAAGTGTGAGCCTTGCCTTGTTTAAAGCTGCTGGCATGGTAGTCAAGTTTTTTGAAGACATATTAATTAGATATAATTATGCTAACTTCTTTGGTAATAAATTATGAAAATGATGGTGAGGGAGAGATCCTGGGCAAAATGAAAAATGGTGAAAAAGCATTCATCTGCCTCCAAGACAATGAGGCTTCAAGGTAATAGAAAGCACAGTTCAAATATATATCTAATCTGACACCACAGATCTTGTTTAAAATTTAAAACCTTCATAGTATTTCCTTCATGATACATATAACACAAAGATCCATTTTCAATAGATTTTCTCTAGAACAATGCAGCACAACTGCAATAAAGTGCAAGCTTTTCTAAGCTATTAGTCTGTCCTCCTAGGAGTCTATTTATCCATACCATGTCCAGTTGTTCCAGCCATAAGCCAACATGCCAGCATTTGGGTTTGTTTTGTGTCTTTACAGCGGCATGTAAAGAAAAGAAAAGGGTGTGGTGACAGGATGCAGGTCTATCATATAGAAAACTGCATTGCTGCCAGAGAGTTGCAGACACACGGAGCAGATTTGAAGAACCATGGATCAGGCTTGGGTTGCAGATATGTGGGAATGATCTATCTTTTATCTTTTGATCTATCTTTTAAATTAGTCTGTTAATGACTATGGCATTGTGATTTGATGGGAAAAAAGCAACAGTGCTGCCCATCTCTATAATTGTCATTCAAAAGTGAGGCTTCTGCTACATTTGCTTCCTGTTAAGTTTCTGACCTATGGTTTAGTAGCTTCACAAATTGAACCATACGTATAAAATTACAGGAAAGGGATGCAATTGATTTAGTGCAAGACGTTTAAATATTTGTCTGAACTTAACAAACAAACAGAGGAAGATCAAAGACTCCATACACTTCTCCATAAGGCAGATGGTAATTTTTTAAATATAAGATTTTAAATACGTTATTTCTTAAGAGGTAGAAAATATCAAAATACTAGGAAAAAATTTCTAGCTTAAAATAATCAGTTTGCTTACTTTTTAAAAAGTCTTACTGTTGCAATTTTTAAGTGAATAAAAACAAATGAAGCTATGGAAGCACAGGATTTCGTGCTCTGTATAAGATTTCACTTACTGGAAAAAGAGAGAGCTTCTTCATCTAGTCAGTACTCAAGCAGTATATACAAATGATCTCCTCTTCTTGCCCTGTTGGGGGCTATAAATTTGAAGTGAAAATTTTTCCCAGTGGAAAATTTTGGCGATTCCTGACTTTCTAGCACTACATTTAATCGGGTGCAGTTTATGTATAAGGCAGTGGAACCACCGACGTAAGCTCAGAACTACCTCTTCCATAAAGCTCAGAAGAAAGTTAATAGAAATAAAAGCTTACTTAAATCTTTCCTGCAGACAGCAAAAGATCACAGTCAGATTCCAGCACCAGCTGATAATCTGTTTTAACAATTTATACCAGCCCAGAGACAGCTGAACTACTCATTGCACTGTGGAAGCCTACCTACAGTTTGAGTTACTAAGGCTTGCACTCTTCCTCAGCACAGCTAGGAGATGCTGATGCTACTGCCTCCAATGCAATTCAGTAAGGCATAATTTAACTCAGAACTGACATTATTAGACATTGAAAAAGTAGTGTAAAAGCTCCTCTCTTTTCCATCTGTTAACATTCATTACTATTTATTAAATATTTTATAAAAGGAAGTTAGGATATTTATACATTCAAACAATCACTGCAATAGTTGAGTAAAGGAAACAAATGAATTCTCAGATTCTAAATTAAGCATGATTCTGGAGATATGCACATTTGCACATATGCACACACCACACACATTCTGTATGTGTGTGTGTATATATAGATATATAGTTATTTTTAATATATATATGTCTTTTAAATCAGATCCAAGAATACAGCACAGAATGTCTTCACTTAGCTCCTCTTTCACCAGAGGACAGGATTGTCCAGTTTGGAAAAACCAGGTTCTTTCCTAAGGTCCATGTAGGTTCCATTGCTCACCCAGGAGTCATCACTGGATTTCCTATCAAAGATTAAACAAATGTAAGCTTATATTTTCCATCTATATGCTGTGTAATGCAGTGTAGCACCATGCACAGATAGCAAATCCAGCCCACAAACCAGGAGCAGTGCAGCTCATTGCAGCCTGCAAACAAGGCAGTACAGCTTGGAGAGATGAATGGGTGTGTCTGCACTGGGCCATGGAGAGACATCTCAATCTCATGTTCACCAGAGAACATCACTATTAAAGAGCCAAATGCATTAACTCCTATCTGCTCTAATACTTTTGCTATATAATAATTAAATTCTTTATTCCACCATTTAAATCTACAGGCTAAATCTCAGCTTTCAAATCCTCATTGTAAGGATTCAAATCCTCATTCTTATTCACAATTCTCATTGTGAATATACAATCACAAAGTGTTAGACTTTGCCTTTATCCTGCTTCCCTTTAGTAGGTGTGATTGGCATGAGATGAGTTAGCTCACCAGCTTGTCAGAGATGTACTAGTTTAAGCCAGTCCCTTTTGGACCTATTTAAAACATTCCAGGGTTCCTCAGAAGTACAGTATAGATATATCCAGAAAACATTGGACCCTAGATCTGCTAATAGGCCCATACAACATTCATCTTGGCTCCAGCTCTCTCACTGCAGGACGACAGAGAAGCTGGGGGCTAAAGACCACATTCTCACCAGCATTCCTTTTTGTCTTGATGCCTCAAGTCTCCTGTTCAACTGATTTACAACAGGAAGAGATAAAGTGCCCTCAGAATAATAATTCTCTCCCCATAAAATAGGGGAAACATGTTCAAAAATAGCCCTGCAAGTGAAAGGCTCCAACTCTGCACACTTCCATGCCAGGCAATCCCACTGAATTCAGCAGAGGTAATTGAGCTAAATCCAGCTACTTCAGCTTGCTTCAAAGAATCAAAGGTGCTACATTTTACTCAGGCAAATTCAAATGTAGACCAAATATCAATTACTATCAAGGCAAAAAAAAAAAAAATTCAGGGATGCACTAATAAAAAACTAATATATAACTGTGAGTTTTAACCAAGTTGGGAGTATTCTACACCACCAAAGTACGAACCCTAAGTATATAAGGGAACCCTGAAAAAAACTGGAGCCTGTCACATGGCAATTTAGAATCAGATTTATAATACACATTTCAATAAATGATAGTATATGCTAATTATTATCTAGTACCTGAAAAATCTAGGCTGATGCTCTAGATTGTTTTCTTCTAGCACCTTCCGTCGTTCTCGTTGTAGCTGCTCGATCCTCTGCTTTTGTATTTCAGCCCCTTCAATATTCCCTTCTTCTAGAAACCTGCAGCAGCAGTGATATGAGACAATTGGTCTTCTGCCCCCAGAAGGATCTAATCTTTCCAGCAGGTATTTCACAGTGTTTGAAATGTAAACAACTACCTCTGCAGACAACTGCACTGTGAAAAAGCACTTAAGGAAAACGAACTCTTGTAGCAAGCTCAGAGTCACAGTTAAATTAGATTCTTCCAGTTGGAAATTTGCAAAAGCTAAAATTTCACTGCAGAAAGGAGTTTCAAGTGTCTCAGTTTCAGGTTACTCAAATACTTTGAGTATGCTCAACATCCAGTACCTGAAGTACTGAGGTTTTAACATCCTTGGAAAGACAGTTATCTAGAAAGCATCCAAGAGGCAATTTTAGGACAGAGTTCCATAATAACTGGACCATCTCTCAATAAGTGATTACAATGTCTGTTTCAGATGCACATTAATGTAAAAATAGAAACACACTGCAGTTTTCCACAGAAAATAGTCTGAGTTCAGGGTAAAGTGAGTGTACAGAAGATTAAGAACTATTTAAGGAAAATATTTCAGAGTTAAAGGTTCTTACCTTTGGTCTGGCCTAAAACGTGTATCAGTGGATGGGAGTAATGACCTAGTTTGTGGGTCCAGTTCATTTAACTCCAGTGCAAATTGTGTAAATCCATACCACTGTTCATAATCTTTAGGCATTGGGTCTACAGAAGAAAAAAGGACATTCAGAATTCCAATTAAATGCTATTATATTGAGAAAGAAAATTTCAAGCTCCCTCCAGGCATTTGTTTATGCCTGATCCACAGTGTCAGTTCTGGGGGAACAAGAGGTTTTTAATAATGCGACAAAAGAGAACATCCCCCTTGATAATTGCACTGCAACAAGACAGATTTCTGTTCTCTCAGCTGAATCACAGCACAACTGTGATGAAGACCATGCTATTATCATAATGTTTTTTCAAAACACAGCAGACAAAACCCCACAAGCTTGGGAGAAATTCAGCTATCACTGTCATTACAGAATTGAGCTTTGTGGGCTATCCTCCAGTGTTCAACACATGAAATAAACAACACTTCTCTGCACAAGCAGTAGGAGTTGCTTCCTTTTTTTTCCCCTTCCTGCTAGAGTCCTCAATACTCACTTCATGCCCAAATATGAAAATGAGGGAGAATGGAGAAAATTCAGGAAGCCATGGGGTTAAGTTCTCATATTATTTAAATTATATATTCTTCTGATGTAACTTTTAAATGCTTGACAAAAATCTAATATTCTACAGAAAAATAACAAGAAATTGGGGCATAATAAAGATATGAGAACATAAGCTTATACTGAAGATCTCAGTTTGTGTACATGAGCAATTCTGATCACTAACTTGCTCTCCATATGCAGTTTGAAGATGAAGTTGTCCCACAGTATAAACTTTCATGCCACTTCCCAAAGAGTCGATGCACAACTTTCCCAGATTTATCCATGACACTGCCTTCAATCTCATGTGCATTTGGACTCCAATACTTTGCCTAGAATTAAAAGGAACAAGGAGAAAGAAAGTGCATAAGAGCTCAAGTGCAGCCCATTTTGCCAGTAGCACCAGGCTGTAGAGCAATAAGAACTGCTCATTTCAGGTGTGCATTACAATATCAAGTGCAAAGAACTGCTGTTAGTACCATTAAAATACAAACCTCTGTTAACTTCTTAAAATACTGATGTTGAGAATTGTATTTATTTTGTTTGCCTTTTTTAGGGGCAGTATGAAGTAAAGTGCAGCTGACCCTGAATTTTGCCCAAGGACAGTTGACCCTGAGCCCTGACTTGGTTATCTACATCTCTCCCAAATTTGCAGAAGAGGAAGAGAAGGAATTCATAAGTTAATCTCCACTTTAAACACTTTACAATATCAAAGGTGTGAGATTTGCAGGCTCTCAGCCTTAAATATTTGAATTTTAAGCATCCAGTGTAGCTCTGAAAATACATGAAAGTACTTTCAAGTAAGTATTTGGAAAAAAAAAAATCACCCTAATGCTTCTTAGAAAGCACAAAGTATTCAGGAAAACAAATCAAAGAACCCCAAACTTGCTGGGGAGCATGCCATGCTGCATAGGTACACTGAAGTACTGTATCCCTTGTATTTGTATGGTCTGTTTTATGTCCAGCAGAGCCTTTCTCCATCAATCAGATACAGAAAATGCAGGTTAAGGTAAGTCCCTTAGGGTGATTTATAAAAGTATTTCTCATGTTAGAAATTTTGGCATTGCTTTATATTTTCATTGATTTTCATTTACTACAAAGTCATCTATTGCCAAAAGCTGAATTTCATTTCAGTTATAAGGACAATTCCTGAAGAAGTCATATATATTGTACTTGTACTGAAGCAAAAGCTTTGAGTAACACCCCAACCTCTTACTTAAACTCCTCTGAGTACCTGTGAAGGGCTAGAAAAGAGCATCAGGAGAAACACCCTGCATAAGCACTGGTCCTACAGCTGCTGAATGACTGCAAGCACAGCATGTGCCAGCGGGCCAGTAGCCACCTTGTGCTTATGTCTCTCATCAAACCCAGAGTAGGTTTTCCATGATATTCCTTTCCCCATAATTCCTCCATTTCCAGTGGAATCACTCAAGAAAGCTGTTGCTTCTCTTTTGTGTCTAGTGAGTGGCAGTTCCTTCAAAGTTATAGTTTTCAAGGAATCACAGGTAATTACAGCTTGTAAGCAGAAGTGCTGAGCTTCAGCAGGGAGCATCCTCCCACTGCTGTACCTGTCAGAAAAGGCAGTGCCAGCACTGCTGTGGTTACCTTTATGAAAGTCAGTTTGCAGTGGCACGTGTCATCATTGAGATTTTTTATGATGATCTCTCCATAGTGTTCAATCCATCTTTGCCCACTTAAGATGTTATGGATGCAGGATGTCACCTTGTTCCATGCAAAATGGTCTTTAAAACTGTAAGGAAAATTACACACAAGAAAATTGTCATGCCATGTTCAAGTGAGCTCAAGCTCGAGGAAAAACATTTGCAGGCAACTTGATTAGAGAAACCAAATAAACTTTTTTTTTACTAGACTGCTTCATCTTCTTGTTCCAAACCTTCTCAAAAACAAACCCTATGGCAACAGTCCCACCTCCCAGAAAATCCTTTTCACTTCTGCTAGACACTTTGGTCTTGAATTCAGTTTTCTCTCTCTCTACTTGTCCTTCTAACCAGTTTTAAGTTTCCAGAAGTAATCATTCTGGTATCATCTACAGTCTGAGATGCCCATCCAAGCTTGTAACCCAGTGACAATGGAGAGCACAAGGACATGGGCCACCAGAACATGTACTGAGAGGAATAAGCTCTCAAGGCTGAGCCTAACATGTGTGCTCTAGGCAAGAGCCAAAGTTCTCACCAGGCACTTCAAGATGCAGTTGTCCACTGGGAAACAGCAGACAGGGAGAGATAAACAAATACCAATAGAGAATGCAACGTTTCACCTTTTATGAAGGAAGTAGATGCTCTTATAAAACAGCTTTATAAAGCATCAAGGAAAGGAAAGTCTCATGAAGACATATATTCTACAATTTGTTCTGGGTATGGATGGCCAACTCACTATGGGTGAGGTAAAATATGAACTTACAAAGCACCAGTTTCCCTACAGCAAGTGCCTCACACACATCGTTGTGAAGTTACTGGAATCTTTCCCTTCCTCCCCTTAATCACTTGCTTTCACTTGATGCTTTCTAAGGGCACACACAAGGACAGTTTGTACAGACTTGCAGATATGCAGCCAATTTATCCCACAGTAACTTGTTTTTCTGCCCTTACCTATGCATGTCACATGTTATCACAAATACTAAAAACATCTATTTGTTTCAAAATGAACCTTAATACTAATGCTTAATTTTCCCCATAGCCTGGGCACCTTTTTTGTACCCAATTTAGTATCAAATAAACAAGGATACAAACCAACACATGGAGATCACACATGAATCAGATTGCTTCCCAGTTCATCAGCCCATCATAGGCCCTAATATATTAATTATTTTGGCTCTGAGCACTCATTCACATCCTTTCATTTCAAAGCTTAGGGCAGGTGCTATGAACATTACATGGTTTATATATTACCTTTTGGATACTATCTTACTAGACTACAACTTTATCCACTTGAAGAAAAAAAAAAAAGACATGCTTGATTTGATGAGTGCTAGGTACTTGAATTCTTTGCTGTTTTTGATTTTTTTTTCAGATTGCAGGATGGCAGATTAATTAATTTTGTACTGTCTCACTGGAAAACAGATTTAATTGGAACAATACTCAACCTTTAGACCTCTGGTTCTGCAAACATGATGGATATAGGCCAAATTTTAAGGGATTTTAATTGCTCATCAATAATGGGCACTCTGACAAGCCAGCATTGAAACACTGCAGATTTTTATTTAAAAAAACAAAAGGAAACAAACCAACTGTACTCAACACTTCACTACAGTGGCTGCTTCCTTGGATAATGAACACCAGATATGTAAGTGGTTCTACTTATCACTTACAGTCCTTATTTCTGCAGAGATTATGGTTGTTGACCTTGCCTACAGCCCAGAACACCCCATGGTGTCAGGGTCCCTACAAATATAGTTAAAAAAGACAGGAACACCACCACCTCTTCCCCCAAACCCATACTCAAGCAAAAGAATTCATAGCTTCCTTTACCCTACAGTTTTCCCCTGTGAGTTTAAAATGCATTAAGGTCGAAATTCAACTGAAGTATGAAAATACCTTTTCATACTTTCAAAAAGAAAAAATACTTTTCTTTTTTCAAGGTACACAGAAGTAAAGGGTTTTTTTTTCATTATTTGTTTTTCATAACTTTTGAAAGAGTCAGTGCTTCTGATTTATGCTTCTGGTTTTGGTTTGGTGGGGTCTTTCTTCCTCCCCTTTTCTCTTTAGATGAATTCAAAGCTGCCAGTCCTTCCAAAGGGCAGAGCAGAGCTGGCTGTCCTCTGAATGAACGTGGCTGCAGTGTGTGCAAGCATCAGTGCCTGTGCAGGAACAGCGGCAGCACTTACGCTGGAAGAGTTACGTGTGTTGTGCCAACTGGAACAATCTCCATGGACTTCCCCCAGAATTTGTTTTTCCATCTGACATCTGGAACAAGTAAAAAAAAGATAGGTTTAGTCACAGGTGGGTGAATCATGCTGTTTCTGGGCTCTACTTTATTTTCAAGAAATTCAAAAGAACAAAGTTCAACAGAAGCGTTCAAAGAATGTTGTGGGACCTTCAAATATGTGTTGGTGGGTTTGGTGTTGTTGCTGTTTGCTTTGTTTGATTTTCATCATAATATTGGTTATTTAAATAGCAAAGTAACAGATGTTTAACAGTCCTCTCAAAAACTTTTTCAAAATAAAGGAATTTGAATAAGCCATAGGCAGCATACACTTGTCTGCAATTCAGTTGCTATTCAATGAATGCAGACATTTTCAAAGACAAAAGCAGAATTTCAAATACAAAAATATAACAAGAAAATTCGCAGTCAAGAGGCTAAAGAAGGTTTCAAATGGCATAAAATAGCAGAGGGTTTTAGTCCAACTCCCTCTGTAAGTTTAACTGGTCTTTTGAAATCTTGTCTGAATCACAGAAAGAGGTGTCCAAGCCTCATGCCTTTTCTTCAAAAATATAAAAAAGATAAGAAAACTCAATGCAAGCTTAGCCAAATTTATTGAGCAAAATCACCTGGAAGAGAAAGAAACAGAGAGGAGCATGGCAAAACGTGTATAGTTAAATTGGGCTAGATAATCAGGCAGTAACTTTCATAGTAACTTCAGAGCTCAGAGGAATAGTACCCTTCCTATTTTAGACTCTAGGAACTCCATTCCCTGCCCAACCTAAAAAAGAGGGGAAACTTCAACTCTTGTCTCAAAAAGATACTAGTTCTAACAGAAGGAAAACAAAACACCATTTCCTGTGTAATTCTGGGGCGAAACTCTTACACTGGTTGTGAGATGGCTGCTCAAACCACAGCTAAGAAATTACTCAGGTATCTCCTGAGTGTGTATGTGCAGGTGAGGAATGAGCCACACTGGGCTGCCTATCATTGCCAAGACTAGAATGGGTTATAGGGCAGAATTCTGCACACAAAGAAGTCACTTTTCTTATCATGTGAGAAAAAGACCTTTTGGGTTTTTTGGTTTTGAAGTCTGGTGCTGGGTCAACATCTTCAGTGACAGCGATTCTCTTGTGATTCCTACACTGCAAAAGTGCTCCAAAGCTACTTCCAGTATGATGTTGTTGAGGCAAATTCTGTCCTGGCTTTCTCTCTTCTGCAGTGGGATGGAAGAAAAAAGGCAAAGGTACACCCTACCAAACTTAACAGTTAAAATGCATCACCAGATTGTGCCAAATTCTATGCTCTCATAAATGGCAAAGCTGTCCCACAGAGATCAGCACGTGGGAAACATCTTGGGAGCCAGGGTGCAATTTGATCACGCAGTAATTTAAGGACAGAAGAGGAAAAGCAAAGTGTTATTTCAAAGCTATGCTCACACTAATTCATGCACAGATGCTGGAATAGCTGAAACTTCCTTCATTTCCACTGCTCATGTGTTGACACTCCTCTGCAAAAGCAGAGCTAGCTTCATAAGTCATGGAAAGCTATTTCCAAACTATTGGCGCCTGTGAGAGCCCAGTCATCAGTTCACAAGATGTGATCAGGAGATTTCCTGGTGATGGAACACATGAACTAAGGTGGGATGACAGCACTACCCTGGCAGTGCTGCTGTCTCCTTTCCAGCTGAGAAGGTGACACAGTAAGTGAAAAGGTCTTTGCACACAGAAAGAACTGAACTCACTGGCAAGCTGCCTTTTAAATTGGTGTTAATCATCTTTCCATGTAAGTTAATATAGCCTCATTACAAGAGGTCACAGCATTTAAAAAATGCCTTTACAATGAAAAAAAGGCACTGTCTAGCCCTCCCATAAGCTCAGCCAGCCATATTTAAAAACAAAGCAAACAAAAATCCCCAATCCCTGTTGCACCCTGATTGAATGTCCTGTGCTCATCAAGACCAAATCTCAGACTCTCACATTAATCAGATTCTCAGCTCTCATTAGAAGAACTTCATTCTCTGAACGGAAGTGTTAAAATATTTGAATTATAACAGTTGTCAAAATCTGTTAAACAAATCAGTCTCACCTATCTTTATTAAAACAGGCTGCTCTCTGATCTTATTTATACAGTGTTCAAGTTACTGAATAAATTTATGGACATCTTAGCTTTTGGGCTATGAACAAAAGGATTCTTGTGTCCCTGTATTTGTTTATAAAGCAAAGAATTACACAGAATAATAAAGCCCAGACTAACGGGTTCCAATATCTGTTCAGTATGGCTCCATCTGTAATAACTACAATCAAGTCAGCAGAGCCAATCAGGAAAAAAAAAGATTACAATATGGCCACATGTGATTTGACAAACCCCTGGGTGAAGGATTTTAAGTGAGTTAAAAGGCATGGTTATGTTTTGCATGCACTCCAAAATTATCTCATCACACAGGTGCTGTTACTGGCTGACACCTTCACTACAGTACACAGCAAATAAAGCTTCAACACACATCTTTGCAAAAAAACAGTAGTCAAATATCACAAAATCTTACATATTGTAATAATGCCAGCAGAGAAAGAGAAGGTAAATGTATTTACCCTTGCTGTTATGCTCATTTTTGAAAATTGCTTTCAGAACAGGTTTACAAGATTTGCCAAGGTTCAGGATTTAACTTGTAGTGTTTTCATGCTGTCTTCAGGCTTGTTTGTTTTATAAATAGCTTGACATACAATTCTTTTTTACTAAAAAACAACATCCCCCTCCCCAAAACCCCAAACAAACCTGATTTTAAAGAAGAACAGATATTTGTACATGAAAATAATGATCAATTAATATTACATGAAAAAAATCCAAACAAAGCAAAATCTCCTGAGAATTTTTATAATAGCAGAGGATCCAAGTAAGAAGAATGCAAGTAAGGATAGGCTAAGATTTCATAAAATCATTATAATACAAATTTAAGCAAGGAATTTCAACTTTTCCTAATTTATGGATATTTTCAGTTAGACATAAAATGAAAACATTATGAACACTGTACAAGTAAATGACAGACTGAAGAGTTACCTTGCCAAAAAGCAAAGTTCACAGATTCAGCATGGCATGCAGAAATAGGTGGGTGGTGACTGACCTAATAGCAAGACATGAAAAGAGAGGGGGGAAAAAAGATTAACACATGAACACTTGAACAGTCATTTTCGTTTGGCTTCTTTTGTTTTGTTTTCTCCTTCATTCCCACATGGCATTTACAATTGGAACATTAATTTTCACTTTGCAGTTGTGTCCTGAAGGGGGAGGCAGTGAGATTAATAAAGGTTCTCAGACCCAAGAAACCTTGAAAGAAATGGCAAACAATTATTTTAAAAGGCCTGAGACTTTGCTCCAGTGAAAATCTAGCAATATGCTTTGTACATTGTCTCTGAGGTAATAATTAAATTTATCCTTAGGACCTCTTAACAGATTAACAAAAACCACACTTTGAATGCACAGACAAAAATTTTCAAAAAACCAAAAACACAACAAAGGGCCAAAAGCTTCTGTACAGTGAATAACCACAAAACCCTGAGTATGAGGGAGGAGATAGTGATCAGCATCTCTAAGGGGTCAGGGGTGAAGAAATCAAGCCAGGAAATTCCATCCAGCAATGCCCACCACTGCAGCAGTGGCACCCCAGGTGTTTCTAGGTGAAACTCTAACCACATGCACTGCATTTCATCAGCTTTGGGCAACAGCACGTGCAGAAATTAGGGCAACCACCAAACTAGCAAAGCAAGGACTGTGAGCAAATAAACAATTCAGACTATTAAAATGCAACAGTAAATAAAAAAAGCACAAAGTGAAAGGAGGAGCAGCCATTCCTCCTCAACCTGAATTCTCCCTTCTGGGTGAATGCAACTAGGACCAGGACCAGCTCTTAAGATGTGTAATGCCAGCTGTTCCTTGGGCAACTTTATTTTCAAGTCAGATTGCTATTTTTCACTGTGAAAAATCAACTTTAAAAAGTTAAGTCAACTTTTACTTTTTTTTTATTACTCATTTCACAAATCTCTTACTAAACATTTTTCCCCACAGGCATCCAGTTATTTATTGAACATTCTCTACTTGGTTTAAAAAAAAAAAAATAGAAGTACTAATTACTTTCAGCTATGGCCTAATTCAGCAAGAGCAACTCTCTCTCTCTCTCTTACATACTGTAGCCAGATTAACCCCAGATGTCACTGTAATACATGGGTTAAACTTAGCTCTCACTTAAACTCTTATAATTCCAGAGTAAGGTCATGGTGCTAACAGGAGTTATTCTTAACTCCCTCCTGTGATAAAACAGAATCTTTGTTACTTCTGTAGCTTCTGTGAGTCTATCCATTAATTACATTCTGCCTGCACTAACAAGGTGAAGCAAGCATCAAAATGCTAGTGCAAGCAATAAGCCACCGTTCCTGATGTAAAGAGAAATATTTAACGCTTGCAAGCTGCATTACATTTCTTTCTTCCCATACTGCCCTCTGTTTCTAATATTTCTCCACCCCATATTGTTACAGTAACTTCACCACTCTAAACTCACCTCACTTATTTCTCATATTAGAACAACAGTTGTACATAGCACAAGCCCGCTCAAGTAGTAAAATTCTTCTTTATAAAAACTAGCCTTTGTACTGGTTTACCCAATATTCAAGTGAAAACACCTTCCTTTAATTCAGTGTAACATTAAACTCAGTGCTAACTTCTATTCACCACTTTAGTATTCAAATTTGATGCTGTGCTGGTACTTGCAGTGCTCCATACACATTATTGTAGTACTGAAGTAGCACAGTGATGAACCAGATCCATGAACTTTAAATTTGATTCTTGCTTTGACTGTATTACTTTCTGTTGGTTTTTTTTTCCCTCGTTTTTTACTCTTGCCTGTGACATTTCCGGAGACTAAGGAAAGATCACATAACATTCTTTTTTGTCAATTCTAAAACATAATGTGCAAAATGCTGTACCTTCACAGGCAGTAAAAAGCACTTTTCATTTCCTAAAGGAAGCCTCTGAGAAGTCTTTCTCTGATCAAATTTCTAGGTTGCACACCTTTGCCCACTTGCACTTTTTGTATTTTTTGTTATGTCTAGACAGAATGAGACAGCTTTCAGTCATTCTTAGTTTGATACCAGGCACCAGGTATTTAAGTTTTATCTCTTTTTACCATATGCTTCAAGTTTAGCAATTCTGGTAGCTTGGCTGGTTTAAATTTAGAATTTAGTATTTTTCACTCATACTTAATAATTATTCTACTAGTGGGGAATTATCTTCATAAACACTCAGACCATGATGTGCTGTATAAATCCTTCACCTACTCAGCTGTGGTAGCCAATTCTCAAGGCTTAGCCTCCTAAGTATTTGGACAGAAAGCAGGAATAGTCATGGTGCCATTGGAAATACTTGTGGTTGATTGACTTGCACGAGGGATACATTTTTTACAAAAGAAGGCATTAAACAGCTGAAGATACAGTATTTTTAATGATCACACACAAAAGAAAATTACAAGAATGTAAACTTTTGTTGCAGTTGTGATCAGATTTCAGCACGGGGAATTGCACTCTACTTAACCAAGATATCCTGTTACTGGAGCAGGCAGCCTGCCAGCCTGTGCTCCTCCAGTGTCAGCTGCTGGTTGTGATGTTCCACAACAGACTTAGCAAACTTTCCTCAAAAAACAATTCCCCTTGTTCATAATTCAGCAAAGTCCCTCGGGTTTTACTGGGCTCAGGTAACGTAGAGTAATTTTGTATTTTGCCAGTAATTCTGGAGAATTCCAGCCACACATTTAGAATTCAGCAGTGTATCAAGTAGCAATTCTAAGGGTTGCAGCATACAATACCTGTTCTGCAAAGAACTGGAAACCCTTATCTTCACGGATACATTCATAGGTTTCTCCAAGCACAGGATTAAATGGCTTACTTCCAGCTCGGTAGTAACTGGATGCATAGGCAGAGACTGCAAAGGCAGCTATGTACACCTGGGAAGTACATTTTTGGGACTTAGATTAATTAATTTACAACAGACACAAAACAAATAAAAGCAAGATTTATCCTGATTCTGTATTTCCCCCTTCATTTGCAGGCTACAGACATGCACGCCTCCTGCAAGCTAAGGCCTAGTTCACACATTAGAGGATTATTCAATTTTCAGAGTCATTCAATAGGTCAGGGGTATAATTGCTAGGGTCAGATACTGCAAATTTTATCAACTGAAAACAGCATTTCTGAAAAGTGTTTGAAACAGTTTAGCATTCTGCAACACAGTTCAAAGAAGTAACCTTAAAGCCACTGTTAAATTTAGTATAATAACTGGTTTTTATAGTTACATCTGTGACTCCATAAATGTACCAACTATCCTTTTCATAAACATGGCACTGGAAGTATTGGATGATTTTTCACCAACTTTGCTATTTCTAATGCTGTTTGACTTAAATTGCTTTTTATCTACTGGGTGCTATTACCTAATCATGAAACTGTTGATCATGACTGACACACAGGTAGCCCTTCCAAATTTCTGCTGTCAACTCAAGCATAACACGAGAAATTAGAATTCAGGGTCGTTGGATTCAAGTCTTTTTTGTAACACTTTTTTTCCTCTTTTCATTCCCTTTTCCTCATCTTGTGAAAGTGTAGATACTCTCTTTTCACAGTTTCAGAAAACAAATCCACTGAGGATAGGCTCTTTTCTGAACTATTGCAATTACTATGCAACAGCTAGCATTAAATTTTGCTTCAGGAATTTCTCAAAGGCAAAGAATACACCAGTCTGAGGTAATTTTCAGATGCTTGGGTGTGGGGAGGAGGGAAAAGGCTTCTTTTCCCTCCCTTTTGAACAACTACTGCTCATTTCCTTTTCCTTTTAGCATATGTTCTCAGGAGAACACAAAATGCTATGGACTGAACTCCCCAGTGAATGACCACAGTCTGGGAATAGGCCCTAAATTGTAACCCTTGAAAGTGTCAGAATGAGGAAAGAAACTTTTCAAGCAGTGTTTTCAACATGATTACCTACTCTCATTAATAACCTCATTTTGAGATAAGTTACATTCAGTTGAAAAGGCTTAATTCAGTTTATGGGAAAATCTCCATCTTTCATTTAAGAGAATTTAGGGAACTTCTAATCCTTTATTTATGGGCTTGCATATTAAGTAGCTCTTGTACACCTGGAAGCAGAGCAACAAATGCATTTCTCTCTTGTTCTTTTGCCAAATGCAGAATTCAGGGTTCTGCCCTGGAAGAGGATGACATCATTATTGTACCCAACATACAGCATACAGCCTGGTTTTGAGATCCTGAACATTTTGGATAAACACAAAAACTTCAGAAAACCAGTTAATAAAAACCATGGAGCTCATTTAGTTAATATAAAGATATCACAGTCATGTAGGGCTGGAAGATCCAGCATCTCTATGAAGAAACATGTTACCACATCAGACACCCTTGAAAAAGATCTGTTGTAGCTTTCATCTTTGAGAGGGAACTAAATTCAATCCCATCCTCCCTTTTTGCTGTAATTTTTAATATTAGAGAGCAAGAGCTGCAAAACAGAACTAAGCTCCTTTTTTGTTTAAACTTGCAGTACTGCAAGGTGCTTGAGGAGAGAGAGACAATGGAACAGAATAGTCAAAAATAGAGGCTGTGTGAGTATGTACAGACATTTGGAGAGTTTGCCTCTCAGCTGAGAGAAACAAAACAATGGAATAGAACATCTTCACTTCTTCAGCACTGCTTTTATGTTAATTCTCATTCTGCTGAGTGTTTCTGAGTGTTTGGAATCAGGTGTTTACCATCCTCTCGAAGGGGTTTGGCGTGTGCGCCGCTGTATCCAGGAGCTCGCTGTACTCCAGCTCCTCGCAGAGGCGCTGCAGCGTGTTCAGGGGCTCGTTTAACTCAACAGGCATGGCCACTTTGGAGAGATCCTTCCCTATGTTATTCCTCAGGATATTCCACAGGCTGATGTTACTTGTGTTAGGGCATGGAGCTGGTAAACACGTTCTCCGTTTAGAATTGCAGCCGATTCCGCTTTCAGAAATACAATCTGAAAAAGGAAGGAAGTGGCAGAACAATTAAATTCACATTTTCTTAGTTTCATCCCCCTCTGCAAACATACATTAAAATGCAACCATCTTTCCTTCTGTCAAAACTTCCTTCCACCCACGAATCATTTAAGTATTTCACTTGTGGTTTGAAGATAGCCTGTTATAAAAATGACAAAATTAAGAATCACATTTTCTGTACATTAACAGAAGTAAAATGCCAAGTACAAGAGATGCATAAAAATGACCTTTTCCCTTAAAGTCTGCAAGAAAAGACTCAGACTTTCCACTGAATTTGAAAGAGTAAATATTATAACTATTTTATTTGTAACAGAGATGGATTCCTATCTGTTTAGGGGATATAAAACCTCCTTCCTTGACAGAGCTTTAATTAAGTTGACACTTCTCAGAAGGCAAGATGTAACTTACAGATGCAAGGATAATAACTACTCCTACTGATCTCTTCCTACTTCTTTGCATACTCCTACCAAGGAAAATTACTGTACCATGAATTTACATTCAGGCTTTTCCACATTGCTCCCCATAGCATTTAAACTTACTTTGAGATATACTTTGAGTATACCCATATATATGAGTTACTTTGAGATATACCCATATATTGATGGAGAACTGATGTGTTGTAAGGATGCAAAAGCTGAAGCAACTGTAGAGCTATGGGTTTGCTGAAGATTAAAAAAAAAAACAAGGACTCAAGTCAAGAGTCTTTGACATGAATATCTGAAGTCTGTGTTCCTATATCAAAGTAATCAGAACAGGATAAATAGCTCTAAGTGTGCCATGACAGGATTTGTAGCAAAATCCAAATAGAGCTACAAGCCTCCACAACAGGCACTAGTCTGAAGTGATTATATTGCTTAGCTGTACATCACCTTTGTTTCAGAATGTGTTTGCCACTACAAGAACATATTTTATCTTTCCACATCCTCAGGAGCAGCTAGGAAGCTCCTGCCTTAGGATCAGTTACTATTTGAAGACACCCAGGCATAGCCTCAGTTTGTCAAGCCCTGTCCTTTTCTGGCTTTCCTCACACAGCTCTGTCTTGAAGGAATTAAAGCCACACTGGGCTGCACATCTCCTTCTGAGCTACACATGCCTGAAGAATCCCTGCCCTTAAATGCACTTAACCAGTACCTCCTCTTCTCTGCCACTGACATAAGCAGGGTATCAGCAGTGCTTATAGCAGGGACAGGTGACCACAAGGACAAACTTCTCCATGCCTGCCATGCCTGCCAGCCCATGCTTCACGTGGAACATTTATAGGGTCATCAGCAGCCTGAGAGTTTGGAGGAAGGAGTTTCCATCTTTCCTACCACTGGCAAACTCCAAGTCCTAATACCTCATATGATTGAGTTACTATAACAAGGTCAGGTGAACCATTTGCAGCCCCTTGCCTGTATCTTTCTTTTTGCTTAAAAATGGCATGGGCACTAGGGGTCCAAAAACCTACCTGAAACAATTATACTGTTGAGAGTTAAGGAGCTCACTTTTTTACTTCCCTATTGGAAGAATTTATTTAATATCAGAAGAGGCCAAAAAGAAGGATGTTCCCTTAGATACCTCAGGAATGAGGTAAATGCTAAAAACCTATCCTTGTTTAAAAGGGCTCCCAGAAATAGGATTTGGCTATGCCTTTTGACAGCTTCTGATTATTAAAAACAGAATGCAAATTGGCTCATTTGCATATTCTGGACCAGTCCATTAATTGAAGTAATTAATGGAGTGGAGCAAGAACTTCAGTGCTCAGATGCCAAATCTTCTAAGCAGTGAAGTTTGCCTAGTCTCCATTACAGAAAGGCCCAGGCAGTTCTGATTTGGAGGAGCTGTGACAGACAGGATGAATACCAAAGGAAGTTTAGACATCTGACCTCCAGTGGGAGTCAATGACTTCTGAGGCCAAACTGGACCATTATCAACATCTGATCTGACCTTCTACATTACAGTGGCCAGAGGATTTTGTCATAATCCCACAATTTATGGTGCAGCTAAAGCCCTGTAGGAAAACGACATCCAGTTTTCTATTGATGGCAGTGGCAGGCTGCCCAAAGCACAGAAATAGCAGGTACCAGAAGCATGCAGAGGTGCTTCTTATACTGAAGAGCTTCAGTGACAGCCTTTGTTAGAAAAAGATGAACTGCCATATTAATACAGCTTTCTAAGGTCCAGATCAGGAAATAAATTCATTTGTATTCTTTCCTAACTTTAAGGAAAAATTGAAATGTCTTCATTTTGAACAGTTACAGAATACATATCAAACTACCCAAGTTCATAGGAATCTGCTGGTTCTTGGAGATGATCAGGAAACAGCTGCTAGTGAGAAATCACTGTTCAGCACTTTTGAAAATAAAAATATATTTTTAGGCTGGGAAGAACATTGTGGTTAGCTGAAATGAGTTGAAGGCACAAAGCCAATTAGGTTGTAATGACCAATTCTTCTTTTTTTGAGTCTCTTTCCATTAGGAGGACAAATTAGCATATGTACTAACAAGACTATCATGAGTAACACATGCAAAAAAGAAATTCTTATGGTCATGCACCAGAGCTGCCAGTGAGTAATTATTCTCATGTTCCTTTAAACCCTAAGTTCTTCTAAAACAACAGGACTTCTGAATGCAGTTGCTAAACTGCAGACTGAATAAACAGTGTGACAAGGAAAAAATAACTTTTTTGAAAAAATGAAAGCAGCTGGTCCTTACTACTTTGAAAAAATCCTGTGGCCATGAGAAACTGAGTGAGAGTGGGAGTCACTCACAGAAGCCAAGGAAAGAGGTGTTTCCCTGCTGATACAGAGCCACCATCCTGCTTAATCAACAGTGCCCAGATAAGCAGATTAGCTGGAATCTGCTCTTTCAAACCAGCATTTTACATCTCAAACCAGCTTTTTACATCTCAAAGTCCGTAATATCAAATTATCTAGTAAGAGAAGAAAAAAATATCCAAAACAAGCAGTAACAAAATTCTCAAAACATGGCATAAAAACCTCACTGAACTTACCTAAAGTTTGTCTTTCATTCTCCATGTCATTGCTTAGGTTATCTTCTGAGACATTATCACTGATATCACTTACATATGAGTCATCATCTGATACCTGAGTGTGGGGTGGGGAAAAAAGCAAGATACATCACTCATTAAAATAATCCCAAATGCATGTGGACATTATTACTTTCAGCTGCAGTTATTGTTCTAATATAATTGAACTGTTCAAGCTGTCTTTCATTACTATAGAAAAGTACTACAAAGTCCTAAGAAGATGCATTTGGGTTTGGGAGAGATGGCTATAATTGAAATTTTAACTTCAGTGGAAACATGCTTCCCCTCCTTGGCTTCACAACTAAGAAGGCTTTCTTCATATCAAAAGCCAAAGTTTTTATGGAACCTAGGAGAGGAAACAAAGATCTAATAAATTTCAATATGTATGACATCAGCCTCAAGGTACCTACAGGTACCACAAGGACAGGTGTGAATAAGCATTTTTGTGGTGCAATTCCCTGGGCACCTGTATAATGCCTCAAGGCAGACTACAATGTCTGCAGTATCTGCATACAAGCTACTTAATTGCCATCTCCCTCACTGTGTATGTAAGACTTCTTCATAATACTGGCTACCCTTTACAGTGAAGAGACAATGACAGCAAATAAAAATAAATGGCATATTAATTTCTAAATGTTTTGAAAATTTAAATTTTCTGGCAGTCTTCTGATGTACAGTTAGAACTCAGAAAGATTGCCAGTCAATAAGCAGATAAGAAAAGACATCTGGATGATGTCAATCTCCTTGCTCAGACCTCATTTTCTGAAGAACTAGCAGACAGCAGGACTTCCTGTGCATCAAAGAATTCTGTGAGAGAGTCAGCGACAGACAGTCTGCTTTCATTGGAGACCTGGTGAACCAGACCTCTGCCTTCCTCTCTTGAATTTTCCTGTTTAAAAGAAAAAAGTTTTGAGCAGGGAAGTAGCACAAACAACATTCATGCACGCAATTCCACAGTCTCCTAACTTGAAGGGCTGTAAAACACTGGGAGAAGATTGCACATGCCCCTCTTCAATTTATGTGAAAGACAGCATGTGTTTCAAAGTGGGATTTAAAACCAAAGTAAAACAGACCAAAAGAGAAGGAAAGAGAAGGAAAATAAAGCAATGCATATTGAGTAAATCACCTAAGGTGCTGTATATAAAAATGCTTTGCTATTTGAATGATTTAGAGAGATATATCTAAGTGTATCATCAAAAAGCCCACAAAAGAACAAAACTCCCATCTCTTTTATTACACCCTAGATTCAGATTCCTTCCTGATCTTAGCAAATTAATAATCTTTTCCTGCTCAAGCCTTGCTTAATGCAAAGCCTGCCGTCGAGTAGTCTACAAAATTCAGAGGGGTAAAGTTGCTTTGTTTATAATGGTATGTTTTCCTAGGTCTTTTTATTTCCTAATTTTCTGTGCTGCATTTTTGAAGTGATTCCTTCATATCCACACCTGAGATATCTCCACATTACCCAAAACCAACATATTATTAAAGCCACGTAACCGGAATTGCTTTTGCTGCTGGAGGCACATTTGACTGCCACAGAGATCCTGACAGCCCCTCCCATGGGAGCACTGCAGATCATTGGTGTAAGCAGAGCTCCAATAGGTGGCCTGGCAAAGGTGGGGTGACCAGTGAGACTTCTCATTCTGTGGTGGCAGTACAGAAGTTGGAGAAGCTTGTGTGCTACTGCTTTCCCTGATAACTCCACCAACGCAAAGGAAATGAGCTATGCTGGCCCAAACGAGCGTGTTAGCTGCTCCCAAGATTTTCTGCATGAGGTGCTTTACTAGCTTATAACCATGACTTCCACATCATAATTTTGCAGGAATTGTGGAATTTTATTTTCAGAACAACATAATGAATGTGACAAGCCTAGAACTGAGCTGAAAAACCTTCTTTCAAAGCTTTTCTGTTGGTAGTTAGTATGGAATGTTATTTGGTACACGCTGATAATGGTGACAAGGGAACAAAACAAACTGCTATAAAAAAGACTTGAAAAACCCCTCTCACAGCAGGGATAAAAGAGAACCTCAACATTGTTCCTCCTGGAGGAAGGCAGTTATACTAGCATAGAAGTAAAAAAAAACAACCTTACACACATAATCATTGCTACTGGGATTATTTCCAATACTATTTTGAATCTGAGAAGGAAAGCAAGCAGGAAAGACTCATAAAAGAGCATCAGGTTTATATATCTAACACATAAGCTTCAGTTTTTCTTGTTCCATATTCCCACTTTGGCATGATGAACTACAGTTAAATTACCCAATAGACAAACAAAACTTTTCCCTTATGCAAAGGCTTGAGCTACTATTTTATACTGCTTCAATTTTCACAGGTGGATCACAGCACCCAATGTATCATTTAGTGACAAGTTTTGTGCAGTGGCCCTGTCTTCCTCAAAGCAGCACTACTGTATCACAGTCCTCACACAGTCTTAAAATAAAGCTTCTCCAGTATAAGTGATTTCATCCTCAAGTTCCAGCCCAAGCCATGCCAGAGGGAATTTGTGAATGCAACCTCCAAAGGACCTTCTGAAAGCTATTTTTGTCATGTGTGTCTCTTTGTGTGTGTATAGCACATAGCATAAGATTCAAAAATAACCCATTGTCATTGCAAGGACCTCCACTGAAAAAGAAAATAACTCCTGAAACGAAGTAACAATGCATTAATGCTTTTCTGGACAGCAGTTTAAGGGCTGTTCAAATTCTCATGGGTTTTAAAGCAAAAGGCATTAGAATGATCAACTACCTACAGGAAAAAAGACCCAAAACTGAACAGCTAAATATGACCAAAACACAGCTCCACTACACCAGAACTGAACCAGAAGTGAACAGATGGAATCTGTTCTGGAATGACTAAACTGTCCTTAAAAATAAAAGGAAATAATTAGTTATGTAAAAGCCCCAGCATTACATGCACTCAAGTCCTAATGAAAGATTTATACTACAAGCACATCAGAGGTTTCTGTATGAGTTAACATTTAGGAAAATCCATCAGAAATAACACAGTTCTGGCTTCCCTCACTAGCACCATTAACACCCACATCTTATGACCTATAATTACACCATTTTCACATGCATTCTGCAGCGAGCCAAAAAGCTGTCTGAACATCAGTGGAATCTCAGACCAGCTAACTGGATGTAGAAGAGTCCCTGGCTTCACACAAAGACAACTAAATGGCTGAAAGGACTCTTTTATGTCCCATTAACTTTGATCCTTTAATGGAAATGTCTGAAAATCGTTCTAAACCTTACATGATCCACACTGGTAGCCAACATTCTGGGCTAACAGCACTTAGATGGGTGACAAAAGATCTACATAACTTAACAAAGGATTAAAAGGGCAAGAGAAACAGTGGCACGAGGGTGACAGGTGGCAGCTCTGTACATGCTGAATGAGAAGCAGGCGAGGGAGAACACCAGGAACCAGCAGCAGAAAGCAATGGAAGATGTGCTCAGGAAACCTGCTCACAAGGCAAGTCTTTGAAACCAAACACCACACAATGCATCACCAGAGATGACTCACAGCCAGGAAAGCAGACTGGCTTTGCTAACACACCACACCACGGGGGAGACACCAAGAACAGACAAGAGGCAGCTATGCAGCACTGTCTAGATGTAGGGGCTGGAGGAACAGGACATCACTGAAAGAGGAAATCCATACCCACCTTCACCAAATCTGGGCTTGATTTTGCATTAGATGCTGAATCAATGATCTTAGATTCGGCATGTATTCTGCGTAACCGGTCTTTAAGATCTGTGTTTTGTGCTATTGCCTGGAATATTTAACAAAAATATTGGGGATATAAAGTTCTCTCAACTAACTCGAACGGGGCTTTATTGTATATAAAGGGGCAAAGACTATTTAAAGTGTAATATAAAACACCACCACATCCTTTTTTATTGGTTCAGCAAATCCTTTATTATAAATGCTTCAAACCTTACTCCTTATCTGTCAAATCAAAACTGTTTTTTCTAGTGTGAGGAAACAGAGACATCAGTGGAGGAAAAAAGTCAAAGATGGCAGGGATATTTTTCTTTTCAAGCTCCCTTCCTTCATCCCCATCTCCAACATAGCCTCTCTCAACATTAGTTCTTGCCAAATCCAAAACCATTTAATTTTCCCATACTGGCAGTTTCCTTTGCCTTTCGACAGAGAAACAAGACAAATTCACACAGGTAACAGGTACAACTCATGTCCTATCAGATTATAATGGCAATGGTCAGAATAAAAAGCCTCTACTGCAAACCCATATTTGTTACATGTTATTTACTTATTCTGGGTGCATCTGATAGACAGATTTTCAATTAGATAGACAGATACTCAATTAGAGTAGACTTGTAGGAAGAGAGCCTAACTCTGCAATGAAAATGTCTCTGAAATAAAAGATTGTATTATTAATTTTGGAACAGTATTGAAGACTTACATCCCATTTTAGTGATCTGAATCAATACCAGGATGTGGAGAACCCTGCTGTTTACACATCCACTTTATCCCACAAATGCTTCTGCTTCTGGCAGTAATTTGTGTTGGAAATTATCTTGGGTGCAAGAAAGCCAGAAAGCCCAATGTGATGATGGAGAGGAGAAAACTTATTTCTGACTTTACCTATATGTGGTCTGAATTTGCCATAAAGGTTTATATATCCCTACTGTGTCAAATGCTCAGCACTGTGTTAAATCCTCATCAGGCAAGTGCAAAATAACTCTCCTGTAATGACAATTTCCCATTTTCATTATTTGCTACAAAATGTTTTCTTCTTTCTGCTGGCTTCTTCCTCCCCCCAAACCAGAAATATTGTATCTTTTCCCATTCTGTATTTCCTTTTCTTAGAATGTGTGTAGGTCAAGGCTACTATCTTAATGAGGGGAAGCAGAGGCAGATATGCTAGTTTTGTGGTGGTTTATTCACTTTAAATCTGCTCATTTTTCTTCCACTGCCAGGCTGATGGAAGCAAAACAGACTTTACAGATCTGCAGATTAAAAAGAGCCCTCATAGGTGATTACCCTGCTGAAACAGCCACGGTTTACAGATGACTTCTGGATGGGCTACAAGACTGATCAAGCATCAGATAAAACCTAACAGAATTATTTTTTAGACATGTACAGGATGAAGATGGACAACCACATTTCACTGGCCAGAAAACAAAATAATTCATGCTAAGCTGAGTGTTCACTAAGTTCAGCAATCTTAAAAGTGATTTTCTGATACAAAATGGTAGACAAGTAACACTGAAAAAATAAAAGTCACCTATTCAAATATCAGAAGTGGAACATCTGAAAGCCAAAAACAAAAGAAGTGCAAGTGAATGAGTTATTACACAACTTCAACTTTCTCTAAACACTGTGGAGACATCACAGTCTCTACAGGTCCAGGCAAAGAGGCATCTCATACTCTTAAAAACTGCGATCACATGCAGCTTTTGTAAAGGGAAGTTTTCATACTGAAATAATTCTAAGAGAATCTACATCACACTGATCAGTGCCAGAGAGTCTCCCCTGCCCCTGATTTGGTGTTTGCAATAAACTCTGAAATGTTAAGGCCATGGTAATGATTGCCCTCATTGCCCTGGAATCAGATCAGTCTGGTTGTCATTTTTAAACATGACCAAGCTGAAAAGTTCTGATCTCTACCAATTACATAAAGGACACCAAGCAAACCCCCACCTTTTTAAAGAGCACAATCTTTTGTCATTTAGAGCTCTGTCCTAATAGCTCCATTGCTGCTTTTAGAGGACTGAGAGATAATTGAGGCTGGAAGACAATATAAACAAGTTGTACTTGAATTTGCTTCGCAGTGTCGTGGTGCAGCATGGTGAAGCTCTAGTGCATTAGAAGGGACAGCTGAGTGCATTCAGCCACCCTCACCTTTGTTTTATGCCAAGTCATACAGGGAATATTTGAGTGGTGCTTAGGTAAAGGAAAAGGAAACCTGCAACCCATCAGAAGTGAGTAGTAGCATGTTCAGAAAGAAAGCAGACTCAAAGTCACAGAGCAGCCCTCTGATTCTCCATCTCAAATGATACAATTAGACTACATACCTAAATCAATCCATCTATCAAACTCCAATGATTTGACAATACCTTTAACATTTAGCAAGTCTCTGAAAAACGTGATCTAGAATAACTTACTGATTAAATTCTGCAAATTTTAGCACACAGCTGACACTAAAGAAACAGAAATGAACTACTCTAAAATTTAAAAGTAGTATCTGACGACAATGAAGCTTGGTGAGCTTCAGCATGTCACTTACAGATGTTAAGGCATTCTTCAAGCCCACTATTTGTGCAGATGGAGATGAGGATGCATCGTACTCCAGCATCTGCTTCAGCTTTTCTCTCTCTGCAGATATGGTGCTGAAAGCTGACCTCAAGGTGAAGTAAACTAGAAGCATTTCATAAAAAGGGACGGTTAAAAACAGCAGCAGCCAATTGTATACACACTAATTACATAAAACTCCAATAAAGCATCATTTATGGAGACAGAAACAAGAATTTAGGTCGAGAGATCCAGGGTGGGTTACTAAAACCAAGTAATATTAATCAAGGCTATAGGGTAGATTTTTTGTAGGAGACATGTTTATGGTGAAGGCTACTGTGTTGACTATATTAGCCACAGTCAAAATTACTCTATTTGTGACAGGTGGCAACAGAGCTAACTAACCACATCTGCTCTTCACTTGCTTTTGTTTCCCAATAAGCTTGAATCTTCAGATACTCATGACTCTATTTCATATTCCTCTACAAGAAGAAGAGATGAAAGGAAAAATAAAATCAAATAGGAAAAAAAAAATCATCAAGAAAAAGGCAGCTATAACACGTATTGTGCCACAGCTATAGGGTTAGTAGTTTCCCCACAAGCAAGTCAACTGTGGTGTTGGGTTTTGTTATCTCTTTCTGTGATAGAGAAATTTCAGCTTGTTAGATGATTTAGCGACTCAAAGGGTCAGATCCTGAATGTTGTACATGCTGTGCTGCTACTTCCTCTCCTTCCTGAGGCACTATCACCAGCCCAATACATTTAAATCAGACAACAGATCATGCAGTTTTAACATCACTACAGGGTGGTTTATAGGGGAAATGCACTTTTAGAATTTTTTTCACCACTACGACATTGCATCTTCTCTTTAACCACAAGGAATAAAAATTTATTTGAGCAGTACTTGTCGGTGTAAGTTTTCAACATTCATCTGACTGGAGCATTAGAGGACTTCTGAGGACCTAATCAAGCCCTGTAATACAGCCATGAGACTTGCCAATGCAAAAATGAATCCATTTACAGGGAAATGAAGATAGAAAATCTGAGCATGGATGCATGAGAAGGGCAAACAACAAGAAATTCCTAACACTTCTCTCTCCTAATCATCCACTCTGAGTTAACCTGAATCTTCATCATTTCATGAGTAGTTATGTAACCCAATTTGGTCTTCTGAAAAATTATTCTTAAGGTATATTCCAATACTGCAAACCATTACCAAAGCTAATTCTTATACTGTCCAAATAAATCTTTAACAGTATCATAGGGTGGGGAAGGAAATATGTCCACTGTGATCTATTCTGTTAGGCTTTCTTTTATATATAGATAACATGACCAGAATCTTCAGTGATCTTCAATGGCATTTCATATTTTGTAAACTAACTTTACTTTTCAAGAATTTCTGCCTATTAAATGACTAGTGTTACATTTTATTTAATTTGTATCAAAAAGGTGATACAAGAGGTTTCTCCACTACTTTTTCTTGGAACAGGGGTGCTATGAAGTAACTTTAGAGAAAAATTCTTTATCCTCTTAGTAAAATGATTCTGCAGTCACTACAACAAAGTTAATTGTCCCTTCAAATGTGTGGATCAATCTAACCAAAATTTCTGTCCTGGGCAATTCAAGTAAGATGATCTTGAGTAGGTGATTTCTTTGCTCTGCTTAACAGCAACTTTTCCCACTGCATCCCACCCTCACTTCTTCTCTTCTGGAAAACATACGTCAGTTTTGACTATAATTGGCTTTATGAAGTTTACTACTTACATACATTCCTTACATAACAGAATCAAGATACATCAGCACCAAAGGGGAGCAGCAAGCAAAGAATGCTTGTTGATACCATCAACCATTATCTGTGCCAAAGGGGACAAAGCCAACCCTCCCAAAAGCCTTTCAGCTATAAATGCTTAAGTGCCTCCCTCACCAAGATCACTTAAACAATAAAAATGTTTCTGGTGCGCGGGTGATGGAACAAAGCACTTGCTAATGAAAAATGATTTTGAGGGAAGAAATATTTCTAGTCAAGCTCCCCCTCTGGCTGCTTTGCATGATTTACTCTTCTGTATTCACTAAAAATAGGTTACTACCATAGCAACCCTTGCATCACCAACAAATGTTGACTCTGAACCACAGTGAAGCACACAGAATATAGAAACATAAACGCACCCATATGCACAAATATGCGTGCAAGCACAAGAGAGTAACACCTGCTGTATTTCTAGCAAATGATTTTAGGTATTTTACCTTTTGGCAACAAATAAAACAATCTAGGCTTTTAGCACATAAAACAAGAGGTAGTTTTCTATTAAATAAAAACTGTAAAAAGTGGTGATTAAGCCACCTTTTTCATACTACTCAAGATCTCAACACTTGCAATTCCTCAAGGAAATTAAAGGAAGGGTGTTTTCTAACATTCTCAGAAGTCATATCATTATCTAAACTGGGATGATATAAAACCATTTATAAAAGACAATTTCATTTACCTTTATGTGCAACGTGAAATAAGTCCTCTTGCATTTTAGTAAATTCTGATGATGTTTCAGAGCCATCAGAGTAATTTTTCTCCTCTACAAAATCTATTGTAGATAAGTTTGGATTGGAAGCATGCAGTCTCATAGGGGCAGAAAATACTGAAGGCACCTGTAAGTAGGATAGTAATTTGTGATGTTTTCATAAACAAAAGAAAATCTTGTTTTATTGTACCCACTTGGATTCCATGTTGGAGACACCAAAAATGAAAAAAAATACTGTCAATTATCAATCGAAACTTTAAATGGATGACACCTGGCAAATGAAACCAGAGATATAACTTCGCCCAAGGTGCCATAATGGGAGATTGCCAAACTCAAGAAAACAAGCCCATTGAGAGCTGTTACATATGCTAGGTTATTTCCCCCACTTATAAGTATCTAATCATATGCCTTCTGGGTGCAAATGTGCACAAAACTATCTAGGGAATTTGCAAAAATGTGTACTCATTAAAAAAAAAAAAACCAAACAAACCAAAAAACTCCAACAAATTAGAGAAGACTGACAATGGGTAAAAAACGTGACCAGTGTCCTGAAGGTAACAGGAAAGATATTCTATTGCAGATATCAATGACATCACATTTGTGTTTTGTCTGATATATTACCACTTAAAATGAGCTAATACAGGACTCTACTTAAAAAGGATTAGTATTTCCTTAACTGGTCATGCCAAGTAGTGATCAATAACTAAGGTCTGGAGGAAGGTGGGCTCTGAAAGGACTGAAGTTACCTGTAACATTCCTTTAGCCTCTTTCCCAACAACTCTGGATCGCCACCTCCTGTGTGTTCTCTTTTCCTTCTTTGGGCTTTCAAAAGGTCCAACCTTTTAACAACACACAAACAAAAGCAATAGAGACTGCCATAAATCCAACAACGCGAAGAAACACCTCGATTCTTAAGGATGTGGGGTTATTTTTTGGAATTGAAAGGGAAATTAGTTTTTGGTTTTGTTTTTAAAGAACAAACCTGCATAGCATTTATAGCAGGCGCTGAATATGTCCTGTGAAGAACATCCATGCTCTGTAACAGCTGGTTCATTTCCAGTAAATATGTGTGACAGTTGGAGAGGTCTGTTTGGAACAAGAGAGTATTTTCAGTTGCCCTAAAGTAACAGACACACTGACAGTTTTCTTTCTTTGTAGCTTAATCCTATTTTGATTGCAGCTAGCTTAAGTTATTCATTGACTAAAAGCATTAGACTGCTGGATAAAATGATTGTATCCTATAGTCAAGTTTAAATTCAAAATATTGAAATGCATCTATGTGGGGTGTATAATGATCATGATATCTTCTCCTTGCTGGGTGCAGAAAAATGAGAATAATGTGATAATTTCTGCAGTTTGAAATTTGTCAGAGCTCCTCATGGTGAGGGCAACAATGCCACAGGCATCAACACTGAATTGTACATTCAGACCTAGAGGTGAGGCTCCTCTGCATTAGAGATGAAGCTCACTGGTAGGTAGAAATTTAAAAAATAAATATCACATAGACATTGCCAACATGAGAAAGATCTTCCTGCTCTTAGTAAAGCATGAAAGCAGAAGGTGACTTTGAAGTACAAAGACTCAGTGCTTTTTAAGTTACTAGGTTTTATGTTCAAATCTTACTACTGAACATGATGTTCCTATATAAAAGCAAATGTACTGAAATGGATTGGCTTCTTGAAGAGCTGCCTGCAATTGATACCCCCACATCCAAAATTACCAGTTCTTTTGAAAAAAAAGTGAGTAACCACTTAATCGACAACCACATCTTTCCTTCCTCCAGTTTCAGAGAAAATTCTAACAGTAATGATTACTTAGTGTATAATACTCTCATTGTTAAGGAAAAACTAGGGAAAATATTAGGCTACTTTCAATTTTCTTAAAATATAATTACCTCTTGAACATTTTTCCATGTCTTCAGAAGACTGTAGCCAAGATGAAATCCTTGATTCATTACTCGAAAAAGAAAATGACAAATTACCTCCAGTTGATGTTGAATTCTGTTTGGTCAAGCTGCCTGCCTGTTCCAAAGAAGAACAAGTAAAGTATTAACACACAATATTTTAATGTTTTATGCACAAATTCTGACAACCAGCACTTGAGGACGATGATCATGGACAAGGACTGAAGGCACCAATTACATGGAAGGGAAAAAAGTGTACAATCCAGACTAGGTATATAGTCATTGAGCACAATGGCATGATAACTAATGTAACTGCTGTCCACAAACAGCAGAAAAACTCAAGGAACCATGAAAATTTGCTGAAAACTAAATTTTGAGGAAGGGCAAAGTCCTGCATAAATTAAGTCAACACAGTCTTAAACTACACCAAGGGAAATACAGGTTGGATATTAAGAAAAAGTTTTCTACTGAAGCAGTGATAAAGCACTGGAATGGTCTGCCCAGGGAGGTGGGGGAGTCATCATCCCTGGATGTGTTTAAAAAAGGACTGGATATGGCATTGGTGCCATGGTTTAGTTGAGGTGTTAGAGCATGGGTTGGACCCAATGATCTTGAAGGTCTCTTCCAACATATTGACTGTGTAAAATAAATAAAGTACTGTATCTGAAGAGGACCAAACTCAGACATTCTGTTCCTCCTCCACACTTCCCAAAGAAGCCCCAAAAGTAGCTAAGATGTAACACACACATTTGTTAATGCTATTTTTTCAGTGGAAAAACAAGATATCATTTAAAATTTTGATGCTAGAAGTCATTTAAAATTTGACACAAGTTTGAAAGACTTCAGCATGGATTTGGCTCAACAGTCCTTAATACAGGGATGGCCATACACCTTATCTGGGTAAAGACCACCCTTTGACAACACCTCTGTAAACATTTTCACACTTAGTTCAATTCCAGCAGTGCCCATCATCAGATGCTCCAAGAGGTGATGGAAATTCTGTGTAAGAGCTAACTGAAGAGTATAATTATGTAGCTTCCATGGTAAGAAATTTTTACCCAGTATATTACCAGTTGATTGCGGCCTATAATCCTGTTTTCTTCTTTAACCTAACTAGAAATAATAGCCATTCAAATACCTAATTATTTGTACATCTTACTAAACCTTTCATTTTCAATAAAACCCAGGTAAGAAGATGCACAAATCACATGCTTTGTCAACATCTTGTTAATAATCAGTTTTAAACTGTTTCATCCTAGTGCCTTTACACAGCCATTTTACTTATGGTTATGAGAAAAGCTGACTAAAGTGTTTGGCTCTTCTCTGAAGCATACAATTTACAAACTTCATTACAACCTCCTGCTCACCTTATATCAGAACTCCAGTATACTAATTTTAAATCTATTAATAAGAAACTTCATCTACATCTCACTCAGCTGCAGCTTCCTTAGTTGGCCTTTTCAAGTTTACAGCATAACCACCAACCTGAGTTTCAGAATAAAATAAAATGCACCATCCATGTGATGTCATTTGGTGTTCTGTCAGTATGCAATAGCAGTAAGCATCAGTGAGCACACTTGTTTTTAAATTAATCAATGCAGCTTAGCTGGCTTATTCCTACATAAAGCTGTCCCAGCTTTAGTCATATATTTAGACATACACATACATACACACATATATATATCCAAATAATAATCTCAGCACCTTTGAAAGCACAAGTAAACTGAATTTAATGATGGGCAATTATATTGGCATTTTGTGAACCAATTTCACATTTATCTCTTCATTAATTGGCCTCACCTAACCAGTTTTTCCAGAACTCAAATACATAAGTGAGGTGAGCATGAGGAAAGAAGGAAGTAGGGATTACCAAGAAGCAGACAAGAGAGAGCTTGTGTAGCTCCAGTTTTCATAGTTTTGCTTTGGATCAGCACAGTTAAGCTTTAGAATCCAGGAATTCCACATAAAAATGCGTAGATAACTACACCTGTCTCTCAACAACAATAAAAAAATGTGGAAACCAATCAGGTGCTGCTAAAAGCAAATAAAATGCAACTCAAATTTCACTTGATATATCTATTTCTCAAAATAACCTAAGTGCTGGAGTGATATCAACTAACACCAAGCTAAGGCTGGTGTAAATTGGCAGACTTCCATTTAGCTTGAGCACAGCTAAGGTGATTAACTGCAGCTTAAGAACTATCCCCTTCTATTTTTCACATGAAAATAAGTAGGGCTTCTTTGCAGTGCAAATCTGGATTAATAGTCTGAATTAAAGTCTTTCATGCCAAAGAAGAAATGGTTAATTTCCTGACAGTAAGCAATAGATTTTAGATATGCTGATCACATAGGTTTCTTTGGTTTGGGTTTTTGGGTGGTTTTTTTTTTTTTTTTTTGAGGGCACTAGCATAAATATACCACGGACTTTGCAATGTTCCACTTCTGCCCTTGATATTCTGCTCCCCTTCTATCCCTGCTGTCTTTCAGGAGAAAACAACTGAATGTCCACAGGAGACTTGCCCTTCCCTTGCATCCCTGCTGTCTTTCAGGAGGAAACAACTGAATGTCCACAGGAGGCTTGCCCTTCCCTTGCAGGCAGTGCCTCAGGAGAGCAGGCTGTCAGGAGAGCAGGCTGTCAGAGCCCTGGAGCTGCTGCTGGCACACGAGGTGCTGCAGACAATTCTCTGCAGGGTGAGTTATTGTTCCTTCAGCTGCCCACTCACACGGACCCCCTCCTGCTCCACCACCAGCAAAAAGCTGTTCAGACACACGTCTGTGTTTGCTACAACTCATTCTCAGTCACAGGATAAAGCGAGGAACTGCGGGTATTGGGGAACGAGCCTGCTCAGACCATAAAGTAATTACACCAGGGAAAAGCAAGCCTTGGGCAGAAGGAGAACAAGAAGGGCATTGCTGCTCCAGAGTCATTCTGGATCTGGAGCTGACAGAAACAGTTACTACATCTCAGTTGTAGTAACACAGAACAGTTTTTTTGTTTTTTTTGATTCTCAAAAGCAACCAGTGATTCTACACTGGAGCAGAAGAGCTGCTTTGGGTGAAGGTCAGCCAGCCAATGTACAGACAGCTGAAGGCACAGAGGCTGTGTTCAGGCACAGCCTGAACCATCTTCCATGAAACTGCAAAGAGGCCATTTATGGGGTTGGACTGAGCATTTGTCAGGCCATTTGTGAAACTAATACACAGACTTTACAAAAACAGAAGTACACTGCTGACTGGACCCATCCAGACCCCATATCCACCCACAGCCCAGCCCTTGGATTGGTCTGAGTAAAGCTTCTGCCTCAGTTAAAATATAAAGAGTGGTCTTCCTGTATAATTCCTTGTATATATAATATATTAAAATATATTATATATTATATAAATTCACATAAATATATATAAATATTAATGTATATGATTATATATAAATATTATATATTATATAATATAAATATATAAATAATATAACATATGTATAATATATATTCCTTGTATATATAATTTCTTGTATAATAGTGAGTTCATGTATAATTCCTACATACTCCTTAGTTAAGTAGTCAGCTTCATTCATGTAAAAGGAGAGAGGGTTCATAAGAGGGATATACAGCAAAATGCTAAAAGGAAAAAAATACCTAGCTGAGTATTCTTCTGTGACTAATATTCACCAGCACATATCAGAAAAATACTGATATATGTCCCAAAAATTATGAGGATTCTAACTCAATATACAGTTTTGAAATTCACTGTGAAAGCACAATTTACTAGATTAAAATAGTGAAAAACTACTAAAAATTTAACAACATCATAAAGGAAACTGCTCAGGTGTAAATCAATAAATAATAAATTTTCCTCTTGACATTTTACAACGTAACTTAAGTGCCACCAACAACTTCCATGACGCTCTTTATTTAATGAACACAAATTAGACTAATTTAATTCCTTATGGAAGCTCATTATTTATACATAAAAACTATTACCTTTCTACTTGGTGCAGAATCACAGAAACCTGGGACAGAGTCCGTGGTAGTAGACACGGGGAAGAAAATGTTATTGGCGTCGTGAGGAAACATGGAGATCTCATTCTGGCGGTACATTCTGTGGTGCCGAAGCTTTGCGACCCATTCATCAAACAGCTCCTGGGACTTCACCTGCAAAAAATTTCAGGGCGGATGACATTCACATTCGAAATAACTAACAAAGAAATGATGGAATTTTGTGCTCATTAGACAGCTGGCCTGGCTGACCTCTACTGGCAAAGTATCAGGGAAGTTTTTCTAAGGATGCTCCTACCAAAATGCACATTATATGAGCTTAGGCATGACAGAAAATCAATCACAAGATCAAGTCAAGGAAAAAAGAAACTACAGTTAGTAATTATGCCTTCCAATACAGAACACAACACTAGAGCAACTTACAGATTAAAAAAACCCTTAAAATTTGAATAAAGCCCCTCGCATTTATAATTTCTTAATTGCCATAGTTAAAGCTAGGTCAGTGTTTAATTAATTACAAACAGAAATTTGATTTTCTTGATGTGTTTCAAAATAATTTATTCTGCAAGTATAAATCCTCATACTTGACCATGGAAAACACGTCTTATAGATAAGACAAGGATGAAGATACTGTAAATAAAAGCACTTATGCAAGAAATGAAAAAAGCACTGCTAAACATGAGGCTTCTGTTCAGAACAGGGTTACTGATTCTGGGCCCTAAAACAGTGCAATAAGACCTCTCCTGTTATTAAGTGCAAACTAATCTGATGAGACTAAAAAGTTATTAGTGCAATTGAGAAACCTCTTGCTATTAAAAAAAAGTGCTCCAACCTACACAGCTAATGGCAGTAGTTTGGGAGCAAGGTTACAACAATCTTGAAGACCTACCTTCAGGTGGTATATCTGCTCCTCTGTATCCAAATCTATACATTTTGTTGATTTCTTTACAGACATGACAGAAAGTCCAACATCAATACAGCCATGAAGTTTTCCTCTCTCTATCTGCAAAAAAGTAAAAGGTAAAAAACCCACAATCACTCCAGATGAAAGCAAAAGGATAAATATTACCTTCTGAAATCAGCATTTCTTCCCCTCTCAACCTACTGTTTAGAACTACTGAAAACTCTATTTGTCATTGCCAACAGTAGGGAATTTTTGTTATTTTGGATACTGGTTACTTTGTAATGGCCTTAAAAGGTTTCAGATCACTTACATCAGCTCGGCATTTAGAATACTTCAAAATCCCTCTGTCCAAAAAGAAGTATCTCTGTAACAGAAATGTAGAGAATTAAAACCAAACAAAACACACACAAAAAGAAAAAGCCACAATCATAAGAATAGCACAAACACATCCTCTCTGCTTCCATTTCTCTGGGGAACACATTCTCTGCTTTTATGTAACCTTTTTGTCACAAAACCACGCCAAATAAGTTCCACTCAAGCTTTCAGAGGCACATTCCTTTCCTACCTTGTGCCAGCCTTTCAGAGGCCATTTCCTCTTTTTCAGCAAGCAGCCCTCCTGCTTCTGTGGCTCCTGGGTACAATTCATTGCTCCCCGGAGTCCTTCTACAATTTCCCAGCTGTCCTGCTTAAACAGAAAATCCAAATGTAGATCTTATTTCTTCCAAATAACTGAATTTTTAAGAGAGAGTCAAGAAGAAGAAGGCTATAAGAAAAAAAGACAAAACCCAATTGACATTGAAATATAACCAAGGTTCCATCTCGACATTTTGTTATGTATCATCAGAGATAAGGTTCTTTTTAATTTTGATAGAAACAATACCACTAAACAAAACATAATTTTTATGACATCATCCTTCATTGAATTTTATATGTATCTTTTCCTGCATGTACATACACACAGTGCATGACCATAGCATAGTCACAATTTAGCAAAAAACCTTTTGTCATCAGAGACAGAAAATGCCCTACGTTAAAAGGATAGGGTTTGTAGGTTATGAAGCAAAAAATAAGACACTAAAAATGAAGATCTTTTCTCTATAAAACTCTTTTGTCTATACTCAGTAACTCAAGGTTTTTGGTTTTCAAATTGCTGTAAATTGCAGCCTCCCTAAGGAAAAAAAAAATAAATCAAACTAAACTAAAAACAATATAAAAAGCCAGGGAAGTACCGTGAGGAATATGACATAAAGGGAAACTACAAGAAAAACAGAAGTCACCCTTCATCAGATAAAACTAATTAAAAGCCAGGAACTCTTAAATGAAAGACCCTACAGCAACAAACCAGAAGAGTCTAAATCTCACAGTATTTTTATTGCTTTTATTTATGGAACAACTACAAATGACAATGAGTAACATGAGTTTCAAGGTTTCTGATGAGAGATCTCATGAATTATTTATTGCCAGGACTTGGCAGATGCAGCATTATAAATAACTGAGAGGAAATGGTATGTGCTAGTACCATCCCCTTAGATTTGAAAGAGAGAAAGAATACTTTAATGCATAGAGTATAATAAGAAAAAAGGACTAGTATGAAGTGCATTAGGGAGAAGAGAACTATTCTAGGTAGGTAAGTACTCATGGTGCTCCCTGTAAGACACATAGGGAAGTATTCCCAAAAAGAGCTTGGCTGCCTCAAAAAAAGACAACCCAAAAACTTAAAAAGAAAAATTAAACAAAATTAAAAGAAAAATCAGCAAGTGTGCTAGCTGTCCTAATTTATCAATCTTCAGAATCCTTAAAATTCACCTCTATAAACCCAGGAAAAAAATGGCATCATGTAATATGCTCATTACTTGTGTAATAAGGCATTACAAGGAAGTCAACTTTGAAAAGGTATCTAATAATTCCACCACACTATTGCTGGCACTCAGTTATTTCTGTTATTTTCCTTGTGCCTCATTTAATAGAACAAACTGGTAAGCTTCTCTGCTTTCCTGCTTGGAGTTAAGTCTGCCAACACTCACCCACAATGAGCCACAAGCAGTGGAAATGTGGGTCTGGGCAGCTCCTGTCAACCAACACCCTACAGACCATCCAGTGATGTTGTACTACCTCAACACATGTCACAAGTGCAGTTGTCCTAACCAAAATTTTTATGAGGGAATACATTTTGTCATATAATTCTAATTAAGAACTAACAGCTACAGCTGTGAGATTAAGAAAAATGTTGTGTTAGTGGTTCTGTTTCTTTCTTCTTGAAAGTAGCCAGAAGAACTTAGAAGCTGCTTTGCCCAAATACCAAGCAATTATTTCTCTTGTCATGCCAAAATATATTAAACTGCAGTACCCAAGCACGCAACTTTTCCACTGAGAATTAATCTGGTAGTGGTGAACAGTGGATCTTTTATAATACTCTAGTGTTGTACCTAATGAAAGAACTTTCTCCTGTTTGGGATCAAGTTTTCACAGAGTTTGGTTAGGCATAAACACAGTATATCATTGATTGCAGGAGACAAGCAGAAATTTCATCTCAATCAAGGAACTTTTACAGCATCATCGATCATCTTGGTTTGGAAGGGACCTTACAAGATCACCCAGTTCCAACCTCCCTGCCATAGGCAGGGACACCTTCCTCTAGATCAGGTTGCTCAGAGCCCCATCCAGCCTGGCACTGAACACTGCCAGGGCTGGGGCATCCACAAGTTCTCTGAGCAGCCTTCAGTGGTCTCACAACTTTCACAGTAAAAATCTCCTAACAGCTGATCTAAATCTCCCTTCTTTCAGTTCAAGACCGATCCTGTCTGTCCTATCACTATGTAAAAAATCCTTCTCAGTCTTTTTTATATGTTCCATTAAGTACTCAAAAAGGCTGCAATGAGTCACCATGGAGCCTCATCTTTCTTAAGGATAAGCTTAGAAAGAAAGGGACTCCTGAAATGAGACAGACCCATGATACTGCATGGGTGAGGTGAAAAGAATCAGCTAAGAAACAGCTCAGCCAATTACACTCATCTGGAATAAACACAGTGTTAATAGTTTTGATCAGAATACAAATTTTTAAAAATTCTTTTTAGTACAGAATACAATGTTCCCTGCATTAGAACTCCAATTTTGCCTGAACCTCTCCTGCAGTCCAGACACAAGGTGTCTCTCACATTCCTGCAGGAAAATCATATTTATTACAGTTCTCCAGGTGAGCAATGTATCCTAGAGTGTGCCTTCTCAAATAAAAGGCGTGAAAATGGGAAGAAAATCTGAAGTGGAAGCACTGCTTCCCCTCAAGCAGGCTTGACATCCTGCCAAATCTCAGGTAGAAGGCAAGTCTGCTACTCATCTCTCTACCCTGGGAACCTCACACTTCAATTGTCAGCTGTACATAAAGGTGGCTGAGTTGAAATAGAAATGGATCCTCTTAAAAGCTCACAGAATGAACAGTTTGGGGACCTGCTGGATACATGTGAGGTGGCATGATGGATTAAGAGAACCTGGTCCTCTTCCATATACATCCTTCCAGATGAATCCAACCTTTCCCACCTGAACAAACTCTCACATTTTTCAAAAACACTGCTGCTGTGACTGGTTTTGGTTTTCCACCAGACCCTACAGATCTTGACCAGGTTTTTTGTATTGTGAGAGATTTGACACCTCACTGAATGAGGAAAAAGCATCAGCTGGCTATTCCTGGGAACAGCTGCAGAAGTGAAAGAAAACTGCTTACTCTCTAAAATGAAGGCAAATGAATCAGGCTGGTCGATTATCATCTCTACTCATCCCTCTGAAACAGCAGAGGAGCAAACTGGAGACAAAGGATTTCCTGAAAGCATTCAAATTATACTCCCTTTTGCTTATTCTTACCCCACAATAGGGAACTGAAAGAGATAGCCCAAAACATGGCACAAACTTGAAAAAAAAACAACAGCACCCCCCAAAAAAACCCCCAAAACTCCCAGATGAATGGCATTAACAATTCTAGCATAAGTCTCCTGTCTAGATTGGTTGTGTTTTAAGAATATGATGCTACAAAAGATTTTTGCATCATTATCTGGGCCAAAATCTACCCAAAATTATCAACACTGTATTTGCTGCCCAGGAAGAAATTTCACCTGAGGCTAAGGGAGGAACAAAATCTTTACTTTTCTCAGGTCTAGAGGTGCTCATTTCAGATAGGCACTGAAAAGTTCCCCTGTACACGTTCCTTGGTGCATACTCAGTCTATGGCTGAAGAAAAAACCCATAGATTTTGGTCTTCAGAGATATGTCCATTAGTAGGTAAATGTATTCATTTTCTTAGTTTAATATAATAAAAGCCTTCTCATTTTCTGCAACATTCTGCACCATACTGCTCCTTAAGGCAAATTATTTCAGGGGAAAGTATGAAGTAATGATTCTGAATGGCTCCCAGACTGATGCTTGCAGTTGCAGCTCCCTGAAGGAAACAGATGACAGTGTCACACTCTCTTTCAGTGCAAAATGCAGTCAGTTGGACCAAATATTTTAAACTGCCAAAAATAGAAACCTACTTTGTGGAAGATAAGGGTTGGCATCAGCTGCAACTAAGGCATTTGTTACGGTTCATAAAATTGGCAGAAATTATTTCGTTTTCTTTTATGGAACATGAGGTTTTTTAAAACAGTTCTCCTGTCACAAAGCTTTTCCCTGGTGGATATATTTTAAAAGTTAGTTTTAACATATTAGATTTAAAAATAACTAGCACAACATACCTTCTTTTCATCACAGGTCAATTTAAATTTAAGGAAGGTCAACACCAGTTTTCTTTCCTCACAAAACTGAATTTGAGTTGTGTCTCTGTGGAAGAGATCCCTTTCCATAACTGAAGCAGAGGGGAACAGTAAAGCAAAGAGGTGGGAAGTGGCAGTAGCCTCCAACTTTCCACGGGGCTTCAAAGTGAAGGTGAATTTAGTGGAAGAGGATTAAGTGTTCACCTGTTCAGTTCACACAGCAATTGGGCAGGAAACAGGCACCAAATGTAGCAAAGGAAAGAGTGGATCCCTCAAAGTCCTGCAGCCCTGCTTAAGCCAACTCCTTTCTAGCACAGTGGCTCATTTTCTGCATCACAGGAGTCATGCTCCCCACAAACAGCCCTCTAACATGGAACTAAACTTCAGCAGACACAGCAGCCTGGCACTACTGTGCTTCCATATCCCAGCCTCAGGTCACCTGTTTGGTGCTGGCACACACCAGCAATAAAGTCTGCGTGTAGCAAATCCAGAGAGGCTCAGAATTCAGATCCTGCTATTTTTCTGGGCAAATTTCACCCTGCTTCAACTCTTCTTCCCCCCACTATTTTCAGATCTTCTTTCTGCTTAATCAGATTCAAAGAAGTACTGCATCAGAGCAGCAGCACAGAGAAAAGCACCCCTCAGGAAGATCTGTCACTAACCCACCAGCCATGAGCACAAGGGATGCAAGTGTTTGAAGGAGGAATAAGGAGCCCTCCATGGAGCTGGAACATGAAGACAAGAATATCAAAATCATAGCATGTCACTCCCCAACCTGCACAGCACCTGGCAACATCATTTAAACTTTCAGGATACTATTAATAAAAAAAGTATCAGTAACAGTGTTACATCCCACTATTCTACCAGGATTTTGAAACAAACACCAAAACAAATCCAAACAAATGAACAAAAGCTCCTGAAGGTTATTGTACATGTGGTCCTTTTTTGATTAGGGGATTCTTAACCATTTCATACAACTTTAGATGGTTGTTGTTGTCATAATGGAACACCTAAAGTATTGTCATTTAAACTAATACACAGATGGAAAGGGCAAATAAATGGCATTATTATGGTTCCTTATATTGGCTGTACTAGACAGCAGTGAATTTAGTCATACTCATGTAAATCCTATTATTTAAATAATAAATGATAACACTTGATAGACACGAACTGTTGAACAGACAATACCAATCTTTTAAAATATACTTTTCAAAGGTAATCTCATATGGAGGATATAAAAAATAGTATTGCAGGAAAACAAAAAAGACATCCTGAGAGGAAGGATTTTATTGTTCAGTAATGCACAGCATTTCTCACAAGTGCAGCACTTTAAAAGTCATAAATTGTTCAGACATTTGTCTGCCTTGCCAACTGTATGAGCAGGGCCAGAAGTCCTAGAAGAGCAGGTGCTGTTTCAAAACACAGCTGAGGGCTCCAAAGCTTTTGGGGGATTGGGATGCTCAATTCCAATTAAAATATCTGCCTGAGGCAGCTTCCAAGAGCTCCACTAAGCCAGCACTTGTACAGATAAAAGTTTATGCTGAGCACTTTGCTCATGACTCTGCAAACATGGATTGAGCACATTTAAGTTTAATTCTCAGTGCAGCTGCAGGTCAGCATTTCTTGCCCACAAATGAAGCCTTCTTCAGCAGCCTCACCTGTCAGGTGCAAACACTTGCAGATAGGTCTTTTAAAACTGAGAGGTTTACAGAAAACAGAAGCAACCTTCTTAGCAGGAAACAAAGCAACCTTGACATTTGGCACGCAGGAGCATCATGTTACACAAATGCTCATTTTGCTATCTGCAGCTCTACAGCAACACCCAGCACAAGTGGGCATTCAAAGAAGCCCTGTGTCAGGTTCATGAAAAATGAATTATCTGTCACACATCCATGCACACCTTTCCTTGGAAACTTGAAATAAACAGAGCAGTTACACAATATTCTACCACAAAAGTACTGCCTAACAGAAAAGATTTGGTATTTCAGGATCAAACCACTGAGACCAAGATGCTACAGCAGCTCTATTTTACTATAAAGACACCATACATACAATAAGATAGAAATCAAAATTCACTGTAAGCATTCCAGTTTTACACATGCCTGCTATTCAGTAATATGTGTTTAATGTATTTGACTCAAAACAAGATGCTATCAACAAAAAAAGAGAGAGGAAAGCAAAGATGTGATGAAATAAAACAAGCAAGCATCAGGAAAACAAGGTTTAAGAGATTTGCAGGTATCCAAGAAAAACACAGCCACTCTTAGCAATGCTTTCAGCTTGGTGAAAAAAGTACCTGTCGACTTCCCTGCTTGGAGGAGCAGCTGCTAGTACTTCTTGAAGGAGACAACATCTTCTGGGATGCACCAAAGTTTTTTTCTTCACTCATGATCCAATACTATTTGTGTCACATAAGCTCACTTAGAACACCATTAAAAGGTAATTTGGAAAATGTGTTGGAAGACTCCTCAATGAAACACCAAACTCATCCTTTATCCAAATGCAGTCCAGTGGCATGATCTGTACCCCACGGAAGCTCCTAAAAGGGAAAAGAAAAAAAAAAAAGCCAAGAAGTTGTCAGATGCTGTCTCTTGCTGCCACATCCTAGCATGAGTTATAATAAAGCCTTTGGTTAACACAAGCTGAGCACATAACTGTATTTTATAAGAAATAAATTGAACGACCACTTTAAGATAAATTTGAAAGTCTCAAAAAGGAATAATATAAATTTTGAATCCTAAAAACATTTTAATTGTTGCTATTTATTCAGAGGACAAAGTACAGTATCGAGCACCTTTTTACAGATTTAATTTTAAAAATTAATAAAAACTCACAAGAAAGTCATAAATATCTATATGAAATAGCCCAAAATAGATCCAAAGTAAGAGCCAAGCATCCAATAAAATGCCGCCAAAAAAATGATGGTGTAATTAAATAAATGTCTCTTTTTCTCTGTTCCTTGATAATTTAAACAACTAAGCATGGATTCATGTTATAAGGGAAAAAATCCCTCTACATAAAAGAGCAATTCCCAAAACTAGTGAGCATGAAAACTTAGCTGTCTAGAGCTGTGCATGAGCACTTTTACCTGTAATCAGCAAGCTCTATCTACTGTCACATCAGTTGTCTCAGCAAGTGACTGGAAGAATAATTACCAGTCTGTTTAATAACAGTGCTCCCTGCAGCACATGCAAATACAAGCCATGCCAGGAACTCCAGTAACGGAGTCCCACGTGGGTAAAAGCTGTCATGGTAACTGAATACTTTTTAAAAAAACCCAAAAAACCAAAACACAAACGAACAGAGGACATTACAAAAGAGTGATGCTTTCCAAAACTTGAGGTGGAAATATAAATTGTCTATCACTTCAAATTTTATTGCCTCAGGCAATGAATTCACAATTAGGAAGAGTCCAAGAACAATCAGTGATAGAAGTAAGGAAGTTTCCACAGAGAGAAGAGAGATTTTATTGCTGAAACAGGAAGGCACTACTTCACAATTCCCTCACTTACACTGTGAACAACAGTCCTGAGCTGGGATCAGTGATTATTGAAGTTTGCCATTCATTTTTTTCCTTGAAGAGCCTTAAATTCTATTCTGAGAGCAGCAGTAGTCTCAGATCCCTAGTAAAATATTTTGTTCATCTTAAGAATTCATTTTCCTTAAAAACAAAACAAAAATACATCAAAAGCCACAGACAAGAAAAACCAACCAGCACACAAAATTAAAACCAGGTGCTATATTTTAGATGAAGACAGCACTCTGCAGCAGAAAACCTCTCTCCCTGCAGCTGTAGTCTGAAGTATCCATCTTCTGAACAGAAACCTTTTCCAATCTACAGTGCTTTCTGGCAATGTAGTTTGCTGTAACATTTCAATCAACATGCCCTCTTTTCACCTGAAACACAATGGCATTTACTTTACCTAGTTAGAAATACTCTGTACCCTCCAGAACAAATCTGTTCTACAGCCCCAGCCTCCACAAGTGAGGTGAGAAATCAACTCTCCTGGGGTTCTTCCAGGAGTGAAGATGAGTCAGCTTGGTAAATATTCCAGGAACCATCACAGAGCTACAAAGACAGTGAGCACAATGAAGGCCAAAATAAACCCCAGAACAGCAACGTGGCAAGCAAGGTCTCTGTGATTTGGGCCCAACATATGGACTTGAGACTGAAGTTATGACTGAGATTAGGAGCAGTGCATTTTGGAGAAGTCCTATCTGGAAGATAAATCTGTGTGGCATTTTATTAAGAACAAGTACTTCAACAGGTTTAGATTTATTTCCGTTTTCTTTTTAAAGCAGGTTAGAATAGAAGCATCTCAGGTTTTTTACTGTGGAGTAAATATAAAGGGTAACTTTCTACTTTACTTGCAAGCTCCATTCAGCAAAAGAGTTTAATGGTAACGTCTGTATTTACAAGAACAGAAACACTCCTCCTGTAAATTCATTGTTCAGATACCCCCTTGAAACTAGGCAGCAAGTGTTCTGCTTCTGAGCAAACACACTTTGCTCAGATAAATCCCTGTTCTCTTCCCTGCTCTTGTTGAGAATGAGCACCTTCATCTTTCACTGGTGACTACCTGGCATTTTGGCAGTGATTGGCAGAGTTCATGGCAAGAAACAGGCTCTGATTTGCAGCAAAAACTACCAGAAACTTTTGCAGCAAAAAGCACTGGGTATACCTCCAGGACACACTAAATTTAAAATATACAATGTCCTTTGCTTGTTCGAACACACAGCACAATAGTTGTGATGTCCTAGAAGTGTCAAATAACCCAAAAAACCCCTAGAGGTCTCTTGGACTTCAGCACAGAGAGAAGCCACATAATCACAGGAATCTTTCTATCACCATGTTTCTGGTGTGGAGTGTAAATGAACTCCAGGTTTGGCTACACCAATGTTTTAGGGCAGAGCAGAGGGGGCTTCCTCTGCAGATCTCCTGTCATAACAAGGTCTGCACTGCAGGGCAGTCTTGGAACATGGAAGCCAAATCCCTTTTGGATTAAATGTGCTGCAGGACTGCATCCAGTGCTCAAAGCACAACACCTGACTAGAGCTAGTGCTGAGGAGTCTTATGCAGGGGCTGATGTTAGGTCTTCTTCCTAAGTGATTGACTACAAGGATCCAGTTTTACTGCACTGCTCCACTTGCTAACATTGACGTCAGAGACACTAAGAAAGTACTTAAGATCTCCTACAGCAATGTCATTTGTCCTTTTGGAATCAAAAAGAGAGTGATGGGCAGGTTTCCAGAATTCAAATGAGCTGAAGATGACTCACTACCTAACAAGAGGTGCTTGAACAAGGAGCAGGTGACAGGTGAGGTAAATCTGGTAGAGCATACCTGAAGTATTTTGTCAGTCTACTTCTAAAGTGGGGTTTTTGAATTCTCCTTTATTCCTTCAAATAAGTTACTGCATGGGCTGGATGAAAGGCTTTTCTTACCAGCCCTGAAGAATTCAGGAGTGAAAAATGTGTCCTCTCTCCGAAGTGCTTTATTCTATTGGTGTTTCCCAGTAATTTAACTTATTACCTTGAGACTTCCAGATTTGAGCATGAAAAAGTGTATATGAATAACTATCATGGCCCCAAATCCTCTCTAAAAACTGCTGTGTATTCCAGCAACAATTTTGAGCTCCTTTAAAAAAATTCTCTTCAAGTTTAGAAGAGAAAAAAGAAAACTGTGGCTGCCCTTGAACAATAACTCACTTATTCTTCTGGAAAGGTGAGAAAAAACTGATCCTGCATCCCAACTTGACTGCTTTTAGCAGTAGTGACTGGGCCTTTCTGGGGCAAATGATATTTTGCAATACCTGTGGAAATTAAGGTCAGCAGGTACAAAAGCAATTACAACTTTAAAGCAAGCATAAAAAGCAGTGCTATGCTAATGAAGCAAAGATTGCAACTAAAATTGATTTTTAAGGTCATCATAATACAATTGCTTCAGATTCATTAAAATTTGCTCCTTTCCATGCCACAGGATGGCTTTAGAACTGTATTTGTTCCCACATTTCTCTGGAGCACACAGGGCCACTTTTGTCTATTCAACAAAGACAACTCAAAGGTGTGAGGCTGAGGCAAATCCAAATAAATTTAGGACAGTAATTTTCACAAGTGCTAAGTATTGCCCTAATTCTTTTCTATAAAGCCAACAGCTGCAAAAGTAGGGCAAGAGTACCTCTGCAAATGACCTCACGAGGTGCATTTTGAAGAATTAAAAATACATGAGTATCAAATATTGGTCAGAGCTTCTACACCATAAGATGATAAACAGCATTATTTCTACTTATCATCTGCTACTAAGAGCCTTATCATTCTATAGCAATTAAAGATAATGTAAACATATGATAATATGTAAAACAGGAATACAATTCTTTTTTTTTAAAGAAGTACCATCCCAGGTTGTTCTCAAACCTTCAAGATTGCACAGGTTCAAAGCAGCCTTGCAGTATCATTTAATCTCTCACAACTCTGAAAACAATAAGCTTACAGCAAAATCAAAGATTTTTCACATCTCACAAAAGAAGAGAAGGGAAATTCAGAAAAAAATTACGTATAACTGCAGTAAAAAAAATCAACATTGTGCAATTATTTTTGCCACGGTTCTGGAGGAAAAGCAAAGCCTTAACAGCTGCTTCAAAGCTGATTCAGCAGTGAAGGAACACTAGGGACTTTGAGAAGCAAAACTGGAAGTGTACATCTCATTCTGTAGTCAATTAAGGTTTTTTGGATAGAAGAATAGTAACAACATAAAGCCTGATGAGAGTCAGGTGGATACAGCAAGCATGGAACTGAGCAATCCAAATCAGAGTCGCAAGCAACGTTGAGTGACTTTTCACAGGATTAACAAAGACTTTGTGCTGAAACCTTTGCTCTGCAGCTATTATTAAATTACATTCACTCACATCTGCCTGGATAAACAAAGCAATAGTCTTTTCCTAGTATTGCTTTCATGTCTCTCTCAGTTATAGTTCAATGTGCTAGCTTTAATCTATCCCAGTGTCTTATCTGGCTCAAAATAGGAAAGAATTATTTATAGGCTACAGATACACCACGTACAACTATGGGAGATGTCTTTCCAAGGCAGGTATTTGCTGTTCCTCAATTACTGTAAGATTCACACTACTGAAGGTCAAAGCACATGAATCCTGTTCTGTTACTGGCTATTCTCTTTACTAAAGAAAACTTGCAGAGACAAACACAAAGCAGTTTAAAACAACTCTTACTTATAGGTTATTAAACCTATCTTTGAAAGCACAGGTTCAAACATCTTAGGGATACTAACAATAACAGGAAACACTTCAGAACTGCCTTCCATCAGATAAGTGCTCACCCAAATCACAACTTCTCTTCAGCAGATGTTTTCATCAGCCATGAAAAAATGCTACTTGGAAGCAGTCTGTGATGCAAAGGAACAGTTCCTTCTAGCCTGTCTCCTTAAGGGGGCTTTTGTAGTAATTTAATCATGCTATGTCACTGACCTAAAAGAGGAAAATTTAGTTCAAAGAAAACTCTCCTAATTGTCTAATCAAGAGAGAGA